AGTTACACAGACAGCAAGGCAGAGATATGGAAGAACCAAAAGAAAAATGACCTCAACCTAAAAGCCACACAGAAGGAGCGACCTCCTCCCATCATGCGCATTGCGATGGAAGGGTTTTCAGTACGGACGACAGATTAAAAGAGGAAAGTAAGAACAATGTTTTACAAAAACACTGAAAGTTCTCATTTCAAATTCAAGCTACTTTGCCAATTCAGTTTGCAAATGTGTTTCGCAGACTCTCAGTTACAAAATTGTACACGCTGGATACGGGAGTGAGTAATCCGCAAAACCTTGCGTGTTGTAACAACCAGGGTTGTTTTTGGTCTCACCGTTTCACTTACGGGACACGCGTACCCGTACTAAATATACAGTGCGGCCAAAACACCGGGTGATTGCTTGTGAGACCGCTGCGGTTTTGGCCGACAGCGCCTTCCTTCCCATGGCTCGCCGGATAGGGTTGGGCGTGCTGGTGCCTCTGTGCTGGCCGTCATACCGAGTGCACAATTTTAGAAACCTTTCCTTAAGCTCCATGGGGCCCGTTAGCCCTGCCCAATCATTGCACCGTGGCATCAATTAAAGCGCAGCCATTTCCTGACGTTTAGTCAATGACCCTGGTGGAGGAACAGGACAAGGGGCATTGCCTGAAACGTTGGATTAAACGTGTTTTTGTTGTTCTCTAACACTGTGTCCGCTCATTTAGCCTTCGACTGTTTTGGGGCAAGTGCTGTTCGTATGCCACACAGCCAGTGGCTAGCGTAAGGCAGCGGCCAATAAATGAAAGCCGAGTGATGTGTTTCCGAAGCGCTGCTGTTGTTGACGCACATCACCAGGTACATATTTTAAGCCAAGACAACTTTAGGCTGGCAAACACCACACTCGGATACCATTTGGCTCGGTCTAAAATTGAGCCCCGGGTCACTGGGATTAAAATACAGTAGAGTTGTGTAAAACATTGGAGCACATCTCCCCATTTAAACTGGTTGGATACATAGCTAACTCACAAGTATTGTTAAGACGGACCCTTACTTATTCAAGGGTGGCATGTCACAAGGTGGTGGTGGTGGTGGTGTGGCCAGGAGTGCACATAGCAACCTTAGTCTCAACAGTGCAGATGTCAACACCACAGCGAGTCCTCATTTTTGGTTGAGCCAACCGTAGGGATGCCAAGGCCAATTTCATATGTTCGTAACCACTATTGTTGCAACGCATACGCGTACCGATGTGTAAAATATATGGATAGCAAGCAAGTACACAATATACTTACAGATCTTACAGTGTGCACATTAAAACTTAGTTCTTTGTCAATCCACGAGTAGGCCTCCTTATTCCGTCGAGATTATTTGACCACACTTCACCATGCTGGTCAGTGCAGGTTGATAAAGGGGCCGTCCATAAATGACGTCACGCGATTTTGGACGATTTTTGAGCCCCCCCCCCCCCTCGTCACACGGCGTCACAAAAAGTCAGACCCCCCCCCCCTCAAAAATGACGTCACAAAGCTTTGCCCCCCCCCAAAAAACATATTTCTAATTGAAAAAAAAAACATGTTTCAAATCGCTTTCAACTATTGTCATTGTAGTGCGTATTTAATGTGGCGCTGCACTCTGATGTTGTAGGAGTGTTGTTATAACAGTTAGTGTTGTTATAACAATTCTATATTTATTTAAAGTTGTGCATTTTGATGTGACGCCACATTTCTCACCCCCCCCCCCTCGTCACACATCGCCACAAATGTCTGATCCCCCCCCCCTCCCCCCTAGGTGCGTGACGTCATTTATGGACGGCCCCAAAGGGAGGCCAGTATAGGTTAAATATCACTTTTCAATGTTAGCCAATAGGCAGGATTCAAACCTCGTTTCATAGACAGTATCGTGCACCAACCACTGCACCCCAGATGGAGCCCACTGTATATGCCCTGCGTGGTGCCACTGTAATGAAACATGCAGTGTGTGCGTAAATAATAGAACCACATTCAAGTCGGTGGGAGGGGAGGGAGGAAGGGAGAGAGCCTCTTCTTTAGCCAAAGCATAAACAGGTGGGCTGGCCATTCAGAGACAACGTGGGCTCTCCTGCAAAAATGGGGGTAAAAAAACTGTGAATAAACAAAGGCACAATGAGGACATGGACCTCTTTACATGACGTTCCAGCATTTCGCTGGGCTATAGCCTGCAGGGATGACAGGCGGTCAGGCGTGGTGTAGTAATGTGGCCCAGCCAAGCTCACCTCAATCAAGTGCCACTATTAAATAACACTTGCCGCTTCGGCCTTGCAAATCAGCTGATAATGAATGCTGCTGTTGCGGCACCGTCCATCGTGTTGCCTTTCTTTCTCACACATCGCGCCAAGTGGGAGGAGGATTGAATGAACGTGGCTCGGATATTGCGTGGAAAACCACGAGGAGGCACGCACACAAACACACAGCGAGTGTCCAACAACGGCATCTGCACAATGCGTACTGCCAAGTACAATGCAGTTATTACTACTTATAAAGGTCGCTATTACATAGAGGATTCGGGCGTATTGTGGCATGACGCACGAGTCGGTTTTATTAAAGGGTGCATGTCAAATCGTGATAAACTTACTTCGAGTTAAAACAACTCGTATTTAAAGGGAAACCTAATAGGCGTAATATAATATAGACTCAATCCTATTCCTTACAAGACACTGCACTGTAGGAGTTAATTATACATTAATACACTAGCGCATGCATGTTACTATACACTCAAACACAAGAAACTCGCTTAAGTCAATAACACTTCCTTAAAAGAAATGCACATAATAGGCGACGTTTCAGGCATTGGTCCTTCTGCATGGCAGACAGGCCACGCAGATAATCGTCAACAAGGGTTGGAGACTGCACGTGTAACAGCATGGGGCCAGATGATAATTACATTTTTTAAAAATGTTTAAACTACCAGTTTATAAACAGGCACACGCATACATAGAGTAGCTATTGAGTACGGGACAAATACCCATACACACTCTGTTTTAGACCGTCTAAGATGCACATACAGCAGAGGATATGGACAGTGCATATCCAATGACAGATGATACAAGATGCACATGTCAAGGCAGAGCACGTTAGAATCCGTATGACACCTCGAGATATATAGCGCCAATATATCAGTATAAACAGTATATCACGATTGTAAGCAATATGTAATGACATTTAAGTATGCCATAACAGTGAATGCATTATTCATGTGAACACCACGCGTGCACACATATATAGTATGTAGTCAAATAAAGCCGAAGAGACTGCTGTAATGTATGCACACCATACCATGTGTACATTCTGTATAACGTACAAAGACAAACAACAAAACGCGTGTCTATGATTATGATATAATACGCACATACGAAAACCACATCGGCTTGTTTTTTTTTAAAAGGGGGTCCCCCCAGTTGTGACGATTCAATTTATTTTATATTCATTGTGTCCACAAAAACATGTTTTTTTTTAACCACCACCGTACGAATGCGTCACGAAATTATGACATCATTGTAAGCATCCCCTTGTTGGTGTGTGTGTGGGTAGGGGGGGTGGGAGAGTTGATAAAGTGTCGTATTATATGTCGTCTTTTCCTCCTTTAAATGTATTGAGAAAACAATGGGGATAACATTCCATCACATTGCGAAGCAGCAGCAGCAGCGAGCTTGGGGCCTTTGGTCCACCACCACCACCCCCCCCTATTGTCTTTGCGCGGACGCATGAACAATAGGCACAGCCTTTAAAGACGTGTTTATTTGGCGGCCCTTTTATTCTTTCATTCTTTCATTTCATTAGATTTGTTTACAAATTCCCCTACCGCCACCACAGAAGGGGTTTGCGGCCAGCGAAAGTGCGAATTAAGCGAATTCGCGAAGTGCTTTTTGGATCGCATCCAAATGTTTCGCACCATTATTTCTGGGTTTTTTCGCCAGGTATCGATAACCGGTGGTGTGTGTGTGTGTGTGCTAAAGGGTATCGATAACCGGTGTGTGTGTGTGCTAAAGGGCATCGATAACCGGTGTGTGTGTGTGCTAAAAGGGTTTGTTTATTTTTGTTTTCTCGAGTCTTGATATTGAATCGTGTATAGGGTGAGCCAGTAGTACTCTTCGACGATGGATTGCGTGCAATGCGTTTACGTTGTCAGATTAAAAACAATAAAAACACAATACATCCTAAATCCCGCTATTACAATTATGAAAAACTAACAAATATTTCAATCGATTAACTGAAATTCGTAAAATAAAATTAAAGAAACCCACACGTTCAGCTCCATTCCGTTATGTAAGATAATGTTTTTTTGCAGGGTATGTGTAAAATGATTAGCAAGATGATTTGATGTTACTTTGCGAATGACAAAAAACTTGGAGAGTTAAATATCGGATAACACAATACAGTGCGGGAATCAATTACCCCCCCGCCCCACCAACCACTCTTAGTGTACATTATCTTGTAGCGATAATAATCATCAATTAATATTAATTATTTCTTAGCAACAATCATGCGAGTGGGCACACGTATTTTAAGCTAAGGGGATACATTTGCAAAGGCGAAAAAAAACGTGTTTTTTTGTTTAAAAAGAATAATTGAAAAAAACAACGATCGGTGCACAAAATTAGTTGCCTTAAACTTACCTTTTGTAAAGTAATTAAAGTGTTGTTCATATGAAGACCCTTTAACTCAGCCACAATCCTCAGACACGCCCGTGCATGCACGTTCACAAAACTACAATGCACATCAACATCTCCCCGCTAATCCCACACTTTACTTGCTACACAAAGTGTTATTAATTTAATCGCTTTTTGTTGTTGTTTTAGTTCTCGTAGCCCGTCACCGTTACGACCGACCTCGCCTGAATCCGCTGCGGGAAGCCTTCACTAGGCCCCCGGCCGTCGGTGCCAGGTCACGGCGGTGGCCCACGGGGTTGTGTGTGTGTGCGGGGGGAGGAAGTTTCAGCTAGCAGTGGAGTGAACATGTGCTTCGTGTTCGTTGTTTCCCGACGACCACTCACCCGATAGACGTGGCCTGGATGTTTTTCTGCAACGCGACCAGATCGGTGTCCAGAGGCATCGCAGGCAGCGACAGGCCACTGTCAATGAGCGACTGCTCCTCCATAGCTGCGGCTCCCGCTGGGTTGGGGCCCCCCCGGACGGGTGAAGAAGACTTCTCCGCTAACTCTCGAATGCCGCAATCTCTTCTCAGCCCCGCTAACCAAGCCCGACTCCCCCGTGCGTAGCCTCACAAAGCGGCCAGAGGAGGAGGAGGAGGCACAAAGGCCTAGCCTCCTACGAAGGACCTCGTGCTCGCCTGTTCTCTCTGGCCGCCTTGTCGGCCCCCAACACGGACCGCTCCGTGTCTCCACGCTCCCACCCCGGGCAGGGCTCCACAACTACCCCGAGCCACCCAGCCTCCTCCTCCCCCCCCCCCCGACTGCGCATGCGACACCCAGTCCCGAAGACCGGGGGGGACACAAGCGGGTGGGGAGGACGGACGAAGGCCCCCTTCTTTAACTTTCAAACGTTGCCCGTCGCAGGTTTCTCCTGCCTTGTTGGCCGGCCCGATCCAAGGTGTCCCTCGCCCATCATCGCGACTCGTCTCCTGGCGCAGGAATGCAGGCGAACGTCGGGGCTTCAACATACGCTGCGGACAATTAGCGGTGGGCTGCCCCGCGTTATGTACATGTACGGTCCGTACGATACGACTGGGCCCCCCTCTCTGCGAGCACAGTTCGTTAGATTGTATCTTTTCCAACGTCTTGTTTTAATATCTCCCCGTAAAGCAGGCGGGCGCACGAAGGTAAAACTTTTGTTATCCGTGCCCGACGCCCGCTTCACGTGGTCTGTCTCTCTCTCCCCACATAGGAAGAGAGCTCGGCTCTGCCAGAGCAGGACCCGACCAAGTGAGCCACATTTGATGAGGGTGGAATGATCTAAGTTAATCGTTAATTTGTTCAGCAACGCGCTCGATTAATAAACAAACTCTAAATATTACAAGTTCCACGTATTATTCTTCCTCGAGTCAATGAAGAACCCACGGTGTGGTTAAAATAAGGATGTTTTACGTGCAGGAGTTTGGAGATTATACCCCCACTGTGTGGGAGGTGGGTGGGTTTGGTGCAGTCCGAGTGACAAGCGCCGTGCGGATGGAGGGAGGGAGGGGCTCTGCGTGCACACACGTGGTCGCGCGTGCGCACGTGTGTGCACGTGTGCGCACGTGTGTGCGTGTTTTTGTGCCTTGTTTACGCACCGCGTGTTAAGTGACCCGTGCTATAACAATGCACGCACCACGCGTTACATACATAATACACACAAACAATGTACGTTGCAACAAACAGATTCGGCATGGTTATTTTTGTAAGCGTTGGTTGTTATTTAACAAATAAAACATACGCTATATGATCAGCGTACGTACACATGTACAGGCGCGCAAAATACACCGTTAAAATTCCAAGGTTAATGAGCACATACGGAAAATATTAACTGAAAATTTCAATAAGATGCGTATACAAATTGCGTACATGTTACGGGTCATAATATACAAATGGAATACACCACACATATTTTGTAATTGAATATTATTATTCGTGTGTATATGTTAGTATTATTAGACACCAATGCACAAGTCACCCCTTTCATGTGTCAATCTCAATATTGTTTGCACTGCTGTCGCTTCTGTCTGCAAAACCCCGCGGCTTCGGTTTTCATGGCAACGTAAATAATAATTCGAGTAAATAAAGAACCGCTCGCCTCGCACCGAGGCTGTGGTCCAGCACCGTTGGGTTTTGTTTACGATCGCCATGGTTACCGCCGCGTGACGTCACTCGGACAAAGGGGGGCAACATGGCGGACGATACAAACCGCTCGCTTTCCGCGAAGGTGAATGAACTTTGTGTGTTTTGCTCATTGTTAGCGGCTCAGATCTGCTACTAATATCACCGATACGTCAGGTGCACGCGGATAAATGTGCGGGTTCGCCTGGCATATATGAGGGTGCTGCAGTTGTCCGATTGCAGTTGCGTTTGAAATCCGTTTGGGGTTGTGACTCATTCACTCTGGCCTTGCGCGGGCCTGTGCGCAAGTTATTGTTCTGCGATTTAAAAAATATAAAAGTAAATTTAATTTTGAGCAGCCTATGTTTATAATTGTGCGCGAAAATCAACAATAAACGCGATGTATAATAATAATAATAACGCCTCGAATTAACATTTGCTTTAATATCCGCCCGCGACACTTGATTTATCGTGAAATGATCCGTCTGAATGCGTGTGGAGCTGACACATTGCCTCGCCTCGCCATAGCAGGGCTCGGTGTTTTGTATTGGGAGGTCAAGTTGACCCCCCCACCCACCCAGACGTGGAATTAATTCACGACCGTCCTTGAATCAAGCGATCTAACCACAGCGCCACCCAGATGGATATAAACTGGACATATATACATTGACTTGCATCCCACTGGGATTTTTTCACAGAGCGTTGGTGTATGGTGATTTTTTTCTGGAAGATTTTTTGCTGTTTTTTCCTGGATTTTTCTGTTGGCGCAGTCACTTTAAGATGTTTTCTTGTTTTAGTTTTTGGTTTGTTGCGGTTGCACCCGATTCAAGAGTCAAATGGCTCACAGGGCTATACCAAATAAATGAAAACTTAAATGAAACTAAGTATGCTGCGTAACTTTACATCAGTCCTTTAAGCAGGAGGAACGCTCATTGAATCAAGCCGTGTCTTTAATGATAAATAAATGGTATAAAACAACACGTGTAAGGATGCATGGACCCTTCTAGATCGATTCTGAAGCTCACGATATTATGCATCGAATCTACTTGGTTTGAATCATTGTTTGTCAATTCACTTACTCTTTTTCTTGGTTCTTTCGGTAATGTCCCGTAGAAGGGAAATAATAAAATAATAAAATCAATTCTCACGACATTTCGGCCACAACGCAAGCAGCCGTCCTCAGGTGAAGAACAGGTCTGTCGGAAAGACAGCGTCTCTTGTTCACGTATTTTCAGTAGGGGCGGATCAGAAATTTACAACAACAAACGATACTAAAACGATGGGAGTGAAAGGTATAAGAAAGGTAAGCAGATCACTAAAAATAAATACGTTAAATAGATTAAGTATATGAGTTCAAATTGCATAAGTATAATTTCCAAGCTTGGGCAAGGTAGCAAAACAACAGCACACCACACCAAGACAACACACAGTTCCTCAATAAAATTACACATTAAAATTGAACTATCGCTCCATTGGTAAGGATGAAAGTTACAAATCTAATTAAATAGCAATAGATATAGAAAGTATCTCTTCACGCACATGTTTAAACATATCTGTGAGGAAATGTATATTCAAGACTATGAACATAATATTTTACTGCCTGGCATTTAAGTTGTGCGTATGAAAATGTTGTACTCCACACTGTTATCAAGTTAATGTTTTGATATCAAAAGTGGTTAATTGTGTTTTGTTGCTTAAATCCTAAATTTTAAAACTGTACTGTATTCTTAACTATTCAAAATATTAATTATTCGTTGTGCAGTTCCCTGGGTGTCAATAAAATGTCTATATACTGTACTGTAACTCCACTAACATGTTGTTCTAGTGCTTGCATTGATGGCCATGACCTAAGAGATGTTTAAGAAAGCCTAGTACTCCCCTCTAGTGGTTACGGTTGCTATCGCAGTAGCCAGCTGAATGTGCCTTCAAAAAACATTGCAGATTCATAATACAGGTTTTTTGGGTTAAATCGCGTAAATATAAATGTGTTGTAAAGCCCGCCCCCACCCGACACAGCCAATTAGTAAGGTTTGTCACGTTAACAAAACATGCCAATTCGTTACTAGTACTAATCAATTATGCATGCATGTTGAACTTCTTTCGCACCGTACATAGCCAACCATGCTCATTGGAGGTGCGGGAAATCGGAGGTGCATATATTGGTGAAGACCACCAAAGACATAATTTTTTCTGTGGACTGTCACCTGAGTGTAAATGAATTATGTTAAGTACCGGCAATGATTTTAAATGTATTTCCACCAGATACATGTACGTTGCTGGATTATTTTACCAATTGCCTGAATAGTTTTGTCACTAATGATGATGTTTGTATATGGGCTTTTGCTCCCCGACTGCAGACCAGAAAGCCACCAGCTCAGAAAACTGTTCCCCGGGCAGCCTCTGCCCAACCTAAGAAAACAACACAAGATGACCTCCTTGCAATGGAGGAAAATTACAAGTATGTGCATGTGTCTGTCACTATTGGTGCATCCTTCAGCATACTGTATTATATTTTGCATTGTGATCATTGTGCAATGAAACTACAATTTATCAATCCACTGGTATTGCATTTGTTAACTTAACTTTATATATTGAATTGAAATCCACATGAAATAACAACCCCCCTACAATGTTTGTTGTCACTATCACTGGTCTCCCGCTTATATTTTTTGGTTAACTTTACACATTTTATTTTAGGGTAGAAATAAGTTATTTTTGAGGGGGAGTGAAAATCCTGGTACAGTATTTATAATCGATATTATACTTTTTATGAGAATAGTTGTCATAGTATTATCATATTAATATTATACTGGTTGAATTAATATATATATTTCCATTTATCTCTACTACTATCAATAAAAATACGAGTGATACTCGTAATGGCAATTGTTATGATGCTTGCTTACCCAGGAAAGGCTCATTGAGTCTCAATATTGTTTTTTATAAAAGCCCTGCCATGTTTTTGTACAGTTGGGGTCGATGTTGTTTCGAGTCATCCCAATTAAGTACTTTGCAGGTTTTTTTTTTCATCATTGGGATATGTGACCAATACCAGTTACTTGGTGTCACCTCCAATTATCACGGTAGGTTACGTATGGTGCCAAATAAATTCAACATACATTGTATGCTTTTTTTAGCTGGTGATTCTGACAATGATATGGTAGTGGTGGTATTGATGATGGTAAGGCTGAAGATGATAGTGGTGATTATGATGCTGATGATGATGGAAATGCTTTCCATGTGTTGGTAATACTGATAATGGTCATGGAAATTCCTATTTTGGTTTCGCGCGTGTGCCATGCAGACGACTCAATAATGAGCTCGAGGCCAAGACAGCGGTGCTGGTGCAGCAGGCTGAGGCAGTGATGGTGCGTGCCCTTTGAAAAAAACCTACAGCTAACGTCAATTCCATTATAATTAAATGAAATATACCAGTAGCAGGAGGTTACTATCAGTAGTCTCTTTAGTAGAAGCGGCAATATATTTCGCGGCGTTGCAGCAGCCTACCGCTAGAAGGTTGCTCGTTCAAATTCTAATCAAGAGCCAATGGCTATTATTCCTCTGGGTCCTAGGAAGAGACTGGCCACTGTCAAGGGAATGCAGAATTTCCACCACTGCCCCAGAGCCCCCACATGCTTGCTTAGACACAGACACTTTGACTTCAATGGAATATTCGTGATCAAGAATACATATGAATAAAAATCATGTCAAAATAAAATTTCCACTAAAGTAGGCAGGAGAAAGATCATTCCCGTCCAGGATTATCTCTACCTGGTTCAACACGGTTCTGATATATTAAATGTAATGTTATTAACTTTGTAGTGTATTGTATATCGTAAATAATGAATACACCACTTTTAGCTCTTTTCAGTCCACTGCTGAATGACAGCCTCTGTACACCTCTTGGTCTGAAGGTACTGTATGTTTGATCCTGCTTTACCATGCTGGTTGAGGAGGATCCTGGACTAGTTTAAATATCCCTTGGCACTGAAGTAAGCCGGGGTTGGGAATCGTACTCAGTTCCCCATGTGCATAGTACAGCGCACTAACTGATTTGGTATTTCTCCCCCCTTGTATTTATAATGGGTCTTGTAGCTGCAAGCAGAATGTACCTATACAGTATTATTATTTAAATGTCATGCAGTGTATCTTGCTGCTCCGTAAGCAACCTGCTTGCGCAGGTCTAGTTCCTCCTGTGTTATTTATTCTTTGTTTCCATGACCATTAGGTCTTATAGACATTAGAAACCGTTCCGAGGCATACCGGGCCCTTGTTTATATGACCCAGCATAGACCATTTGTTGTCCCAAGAGCTTTATGAATGTGTGGCACCTTTGGGCTCAGCCCTTCCCCTCCGTGCTCCCCATCCGCTCAGCATCCCTTGCCCCTAGGCCAAAAGGAAGCAATCGTATGGTCACAGCTGAAAGCGGGTCGCTCTCTTTGTAACTACTTTCGTGTTTTTGTTGTTTGTTGTTGTAACGTTCTTACCCGCCCCTACTGGACATCTGTGAAAAAGAGCTTTTTAGCTCATCGGATTCCTCCTGTTATGAATACATATTCTGTTCTGAAGCTATGGCAGCCTAGTAAAAATAAGTCGCACAGCCTGGCAGAAGTAGGAGTAAGAATGTTGCATGAGCATCAGGTTGTAGACGTTGCATGTGTATTTTATCCTCAACTGTGCAATGCTTCATGTCTTTAAATGCATGGTGTGTGTGTGCGCATGGGTGGGGTTCTACAGAGAGAGCAACAAGAGCTTCTCTCCAAGCCTGTCCCTACATATTTGAGCTTTTCTGCATACAGTGACATTGGAGACAATGAAAATGACCAAACAGCGTTGAGGTAAGAGCTTTCTATCAATTACCAATATCCATTCAGCTTATCACTGCAATTTCGTTTTCCATTCATTGCAATTGTCTCCGACTTAGAGGAATCACTCAGCCTTCACACTGGATGCATAAACCAACATTTTACATACTTTTACCAACACTGCAGGGAAATTAACTGGATTTTTATTACACATGATGCCAGCACACAAGCCCAGTGCGAGTTCACTGTGTGAAGCCATTACGGTCAAAATTGACTGTGCTAAAAGGAAAATGAATGCGAAGGGGCACTACCAGCAATTGAATCTCAACTAGAACTTTTTTCTATTTTGGCTTAACGCTTTCATGGCTGCAGGAATTTTTTTTTTCGACCTGATGGCGGTCGCTTGTGTTGCGATTGAAACGTCGTAGTTTTTTTGTTTATTTTATATATTTTTTTACCTATCTACGTGAATTTACCGAAAGACCCAAAGAATATAATTTTTATATTACCAGGTAAGGCCCACTGAGCTATATAGCTCTCTTTCAGAAGCGACCTGGCTATCACAAATTATTGCCCAACGAAGTGGCTTGTCACGTGGCCATTTACAGCAGCCAAATACTCTAAATGTATGATTCTTAGTGTGGAGGGGAAAACCAGAGGACCCGGAGAAAAATCCACATGACCATGGAGAAAACATGCAGACGCCAAATATACAGGCGTCAGTCGGGATCGAACCCACGACCTCCTGTATATCAGGCGAGGTAATTAACAACTCTCCACCATGGCGAATTGAGATAGGGTGCCACCCAGTTTAGTTTTGTTCAATACTGTGCATTCTTTTGTTGAATACATTTTTGGGCAAGATTTAAAAGCAGTACCTCCGATTAGCACGTTTGGCTACACACTGTGCAAAAGAATATCAACATGTATACAAACTACTGCTCATTGCATATGCAAAGAGATGCATCACGTCAGTAAAGCATGAAGCAATGGGATTTTGTGGTTGTAGTGGGGATGCCTTTTGAGGAGACAGAAACACTGTGGTTCTGTGGTATGTCACCGAGGGTCCTTAATTGTTGCTGATGACTTCACTCTGTACTTTGATGCTTGTAGCAAAATAATGTTATGAATAGTGATGAATTTAAAAAGAAATATATGCAAAAAATAAGATATGGGGGTAAGAATTTTGAAAGGCTGTTAGATATGGATATGTTCTTTGTTAATAATGAGCAAATTATAATCGTAACGTAATGGCTAATGATAATGTGCCAGTAATAATGATCTCATCTATGTTCGCTGGACAGTTGGAGAGACAACTCCACAGTCACTGATGCTGATACCAAAACCTTCCAATCTGTTCATCTTACAATGAGTTGACCTAAGGGAGGCCTAGGCCATATTGCGATACCGATTTTGCACGTGCGCTGTGCATGACTGTCATCATGCCATGTGTGTGTGGCATTCGTCTTCTAATATTTTACATGTTCTGCTTACAGTGGCAGGGTATTTTCTTCAGGATCAGTCTCTTTGCAGGACCAGCTGCCCCAAGCACCAAAGCCGGTAATTTGTCCCTGCAAATAACACCGTAATTTGCGTGATTTTTGCGACCGTTTTGTTCAAATGTCTTTTTAATATCAGGTCCCCTGAAATATTTGTGGGGTTTTTTTTTTACAAAGGCAATCAAATCAAAGGGAGAATCGAAAATGACTAAACTTCAGAGACCAGTTTCAGCAACCAAAGGCAGGAAGCCAATCAAGTAAGTTCCAACACAAGTGCTTCGTTTGTTCTTCAACCTTGAGCCTCCATTACTCAGAATGTCCCAACACATCTTCCACCAACAACAATAATAATACTACTGTACTTTGACTGCAACGTTTCTGAAACATTCACACTTTCATACATTTTTCCACGAAAATGCGACTTCTTTTCTTGATGGACACATTTTCACTTGTTCATCATATTATAAAATATATATATGCTTTAACATGGTCTTATTTGTATATTTGTAACTCAACTTTACATAAATGTCTTATAACTTTGATTCACAATGATTTTTGGGTTCGGCCATGTCATTATATGGACACGTTTTTGTTGTGGAACCTTCCGCCACCCGACATCGCCAAACAAATGAAATGTTCGTGTGTGCAAACGTTTAAAATGTGCCAATTGCTGTAATTTAAATTCACTGGTTAATTGAAGAACAATTCTCACAAACAAATATCTTTACTCTGTTTCTTTCTGTTGCTCACTCTTAAAAATGTTTACAATTTAGATTCGGGTTATTTCCATTTTACACAATTGCATTAGAGCTTTCATGGCACTGCTTGTTTATTTCATGTACTTTTTCAACATGTTCTACATGTCTGCCCTTGGGATTGAACATAGCTTGTATACAGCTTGAGAAGAGTTTGAAAAAAAAAACATTCTTTAACGAAAGCAGTTTTTTCAAAGTTAGATTTTTTTAATGTGTTTATTTTACAGATTTCAGTTGAGCAAAATAACTTTGGTCTTGTATCAGAGTCAGAGCAAGGACACTCGAATCCAAGAATGCTGCAGATGATGTCGCTGTGCCTGAAGATTTTACCAACTTCTCTTTGGCCAAAACCATCAACAAAATTGAGGGCACGCTCGGAGATGATTTGCTACCAGCTGAACCCGATGATGACATCATGCCCAGTGCAGCCAATGAGATGGGAGCAGGTACCGTTGCAGAATGGCACACAGACATATGGGTTTTTCCCCTTCTATCTGGCAACAAAACAGCTGTTAAGGTGTTAAAACACCAAATTGATACCTTTTACAAGGAATCATGTCTACATTAACCACAATGCTTGTGGTCAGAATGCAAACAAAAAACATACTTTGCATTGTCCTTGAAACTGATTGGTCCACGTCAGAGACCGCTTTCTTTTGAGCATCGCCTCAAACGGTGTTAGACCAGAGGACGCCAAAAGAGTATGTTTTTTGTTTGCATTCTGACCACAAGCATTGTGGTTAATGTAGACATGATTTCTTGTAAAAGGTTTCAGTTTGGTGTTTTAACATCTTAACACCTATTTTGTTGCCAGATAAAAGGGGTAAAACCTATTATCATATTTTGGTACTGGCAAAGGAGGTCCCACAATGGTATTGCTATTATTAAGTTTTATTTGTTTTCTTAATCTTTGGTTGTGGAAGGCGTTGAAGTTGTCTGTCGGCCGAGTCACCCCCTTCAACAAGAGCTTCTGAGTTCTACGGGCTTCACTCGGTGGGAAATACACTCCCAGTTCCGATTCTGATTTGCAGATCAATTTTACACAAATTCTCACGCATGCGATTCATCGTATTTATTGCGAGGTGAAAAATTGATATTGCATCCATGTATCTTCATACGCACCTCCGATTAGCACGGTTGGATACGTATGGTGCGAAATAAGTTCAACACATATATATACACACATACATACCCTTATTGTCTACTTTCACATATTGTCTTGATGCATTCTCATCCTTTATTGGTTCAAACTTCCTCCAGGTAAATATTCCCAAAACTGAAGTCCTAGTTGCAAAAACAGTGAAGCATTTGGCTTGTGCCTGCCCCTCCAAAGGTCTGACTTGTTCATAAAGAGTGTCTGTAACCTCGGAGTCGTCATTGCTCGTTCTGTGTCTTCTGTGCTGCTGTGTGTGTGTGTTTTTTATATCCAGAGGCACAAATCCGCTTCTTGAAGGCCAAGCTGCGAGTGATGCAGGAGGAGCTGGACAGACTCTCCAACCTTTGTGGAAAGAAGGTGGTTTTCAGTACATCGTCATATATTTATATCAGTGTTTTCCAAATCACATGCATTTAAATTTAAAAATAATCGATCACCCTCGATATTCCGATATTCCCATTAATGTATAATATGCCGTATAAAATATCATTTATTTTTCTCTGGAACGGATTATTTCCTTTCCCTTTATTTCTTATGGGAAAAAATTCGTTTGGTGTCTACGTCATTTTCGGTATAAGTCCTCCTACTTTCTGGAACGAATTAACGACGTATACCGAGGTTCCACTGTACTTGAACCCAGGTGTCACAGGAAATGGGTGGAATTGTGCTGCGGTGGATAGTGCATTGCACTCTGAGGCCGGTGATCTGAGGTCAATTCCGGGCCATAGCTAACATCAGTGGTAAGGGATATCTGAACTGGTCCTGGCCCCCCTTCACGTAAATAATCATTTAATAGAAATTACTCGTCTCAATTAGTTCTCACCGGGTAATACCGCCCATAGTGCAGTGAAACTCCACTGATCCATCACCGCTCCTATTATCTCTGGCCAGAAACGGTCGACAACACGTTATTTTCGCAGCCATTTTGCAGATAAGCGCAGCTGCAGGGCAGATTTCTCCTCACACGCACCCTTCTGCCAGGACGACGAGCTGAGTGCGACGTCAGCACGGCTGAAAGAGGCGGACGAGGAGCGAGCGAGGCTACAGCGCTCTTCCCAGATTTACCAGGCGCACGCCGACAAGTTCCGTGCCCTCTCCGACGAGCAGGCCCGCCGCGCCGATGCCCTGGACGCACAGCTTTCCTCCATCAACAAGGTCTCCAAACCCCGGGATGCAAACCGATGTTACAGCTCGTGCTTAAACAAACACATTTTTATTTTAGCAGGTAAGGGCCCACTAAGCTGTGTAGCTCTTTTTAAGAAGCGACCTGGCCACGGCAAATGATAGCTCAACGAAGTGTGGCTTATCGCGTGGAAATTTAAAGCAGCCAAATACTCTAAGCGCGTGATGTTGAGTCTAACTGTGGACGGACAAACCGGAGGACCCGGAGAAGAATCCACACCACGGGGGGGGGGAACATGAAAACTCCACACTATACATCTGGTGTCTAAAATAAGCCTCTTAAAGCAACCATAGAATTGTTCTCCTTCAAGTTACAGAGAGCTGTTCATGGCACATTTTGTCATCACTGTGATACAAATGTATCAGACGCCTGAGATTGATTAAGAAAAAGGGTTTTTCCATGCTGTACAATGGACTGTTTTGTGCAGTGAATGATGACTGGGCTGTATTCTCCAACTCGCACTTGACAATCTGTTTTTCCAAAATTCGAACCTGGGATCTCAGCTCTGCGAGCTCAGCCTCTTACAAACAGATTGGCATTTGTTACCTACAACTTAAAAAAATACTCCCAATGAAATACTGTGCTGTACATATGTATGTTGGACTTTGTTCGCACCGTACGGAGCCAACCGTGCTGATGGAGGTGCTGGCATGCGTGTGCATGGGTTCTGGGTTCTGTCGGCGCAGGAGTTGGAAGCGCTGAAGCGGACTCAGAAGCAGGCTTCCTCGGCTCAGGGAGCAGCTGAGGTGCGACTAAACCGAGCACTGGAGGAGGCAGAGCGACATAAAGCAGAGCTCACTCGGCTGCAGCAAGCCAGTAAGGTGCGTGGGGCATCCTAAGCAAGTCCCCCCTGGGTACCACCAATACCAAAACCCGCCATTCACCACTAAGTGACGGTGACGTCACCACGGCGCTTGTGCCAGACCGGGTGCATTTTGAGGCCACGTGAAGTGTTGAAGGCTCGCTGCTGGCAGGAGGTCTTGGGACAGACCCAGCAGGTGCCATGGGTTGATTGTAATGGCTGGCAGATGCACCAGCTGTGCCCCCTACTGTGCCGACTTCCTGCGTTTTAGCTGCCCGGCGCTCCGCTCATTGTTGTGAGTGTCACTCCTATCTCATCCGTTGTTGTTGAAGGGCAATTGGCTCTAACTGACCAGTAGCGTCCTTCACGAGCCTCCTCTTTCGAGGCCGATCTTGACACCGCTGGTACAGGTCTTCAGCAAGCCAACTCAGCCCCACATACTCCCGTACCCGCATCAGTCAGTCCATCTCTTCTCTCAGCCCGTGTCGTGCCCCTACCCCACCCGCCACTCTCCCGAATAAAGGACAACGAAGACAGACACAGTGGTCGAGTCCTTTATTACACTAGTGAGAATCCTACAGGTCACAGATGCCGGAGGCTTTTGCTGAATGATTCCTAAACATTGTGATGGGATGAGGTAGGTGCATTCTTTAAGGAGACAATCGGCATTTCACCTCGTATCTTCACAGGTGACAAAGCTTCGTACAAATTGTAAAAAATATAATGGCCACGTTTGACCTACGTCTATTGTGAAGGTGACATTAAATTCGTGCAACTTCCCAGGATAGCCACTCTGGTGAGATCGCAGCACTCAATAATGCAGTTTGCTTCTACATGTTCATTAAAAATGAATAATCTTCACATTGCTTGGTTAAAAACATCATTATCAGCCATGGTCAATAGCATAACAATGATAATGAATGCCAGAAATTGGTTGAAGAATTTCAAATCGAAGGCTGCGAATCTGAACGAGAGATAAATATGAACAAACGTCATTTATAACACGGTTGCTCATCAAAATAAAATAATAGTTGGAGGAATGCAACTGTAAAATAAATCAAACTATATATACACACACACTTTAGACATTTATTGAAATGGATCAGGATAAAATAATGAATAAATGGGCAAACAAGCAATACGAAGTGCATTTGGTAAAGATTATTATTTATTTTTAAAAACACACTTGTGCCTGGAGAGGACAGTTTTCAATCAGTGCATTTTGTCAGCTGTGATTTATTATAAACGAGGACACTGGCACACAACATGGAACAAAACCTGAAAAGTTTGGCAGTATGGAGAGATGCATGCTGGGATTTATAACATCTCAGCATGCATCTGTGCACCCCTTTTTCTCTCATAATGATCAGGTTTGCATCTGATCCATAATTCTATAGCTGTTGATGTATACTTACAAAAACAGTCTTCTCAGGCACAAGTAGTATGATGATAATTGGTTCTTTACCCTTCTATCTGGCAACAAAACTGACACCTTTTTACAAGGAGTCATGTTTGCATAGACCGCAATACCTGCAGTCATAATACAAACAAAAGAACATAACTCTGATAATGTGCACTGTCCTTGAAGTTGATTGGTCCACACCCGAGACAGCTTTCCTTAGAGCCTAGTCTCATATGGGTTGGACCAGATGACGCCAAAAGGCGCACAACTCAAAGACAATGCACCATCAGAGTATGAGAGCTCGGGGCAAGCATCTACACTATGGGAACCTCATTTGCCAGTAAAAATATGATAATTGGTTCTTTACCCTTCTATCTGGCAACGGTCGAAGCAAACATGACTCCTTGTAAAAAGGTGTCAGTTTTGTTGCCAGATAGAAGGGTAAAGAACCAATTATCATATTTTTACTGGCAAATGAGGTTCCCATAGTGAGTGTACAGCTTGTAAAAAGGTGTCAGTTTTGTTGCCAGATAGAAGGGTAAAGAACCAATTATCATATTTTTACTGGCAAATGAGGTTCCCATAGTGAAGTAGTATGATGCTTTTCATTATCAAACTCAAATTTCCAAACGTGTTCCATCCTGCTTTTGTTGCCTCTTTATTGAATAATTTTGATGCAAATCCACCTCCACAATTTAGCTCCGGCATACATATCCTGCTGTGTGCTCAAGTCGAGTTACAATCGGTTAAATGTTGTACCACGGAACGAGACGTACTGTGTGTGTGGCTATGTGTGTGTGTGTGTTTACGTATGTCACAACAGGACTCTGGTGAGCAGGCACGGGCTCGCATCGAACAATTAAGTGCTGAAAGCAAGCGTCTGGAGAAACAGAAAATTGAGCTGATTGCAGGATATAAAAAACAGATGAAGCTCATTGACATTCTAAAACGCCAAAAGGTGTGTTGCATTTTCGTGGCGGGTCTTGTGACTTACAGTCCAGTTGAGCACCTTTTACCTCGTTCAGTTGTGGACCAGACATTGGTCAGTCTGGCATACGGCAGCTCCAAAAACAGCATAGCTACTTGCCGTCACTGTGATAAGAATCTCCGTGGAGCATTGCTACTCAATGTACCTGGGAGGGAACCACACCTGGGACGTGTGACCCTACCGCCACAGGTGCCTGCTGAAAACACATCCCTGCGGAGGGAGCTGGTAGGAACGTTGGGTTGCTCGGTCAATGGCCAAGGTCAACGGCGGCGTGGTGTATTCCGCAAATATGCCCGACTGTGAGGGCGGGCACAAGCCGGCGTGAGTAGGTTAAACGTTGAGTTTTATAAGGGCACCACGGGGTACCCAGCCCCTCCCCACCCAGCCCCACCCCTCCCACCCCCACCCAGCCCCTCCCCACCCAGCCCCCCCCTCCCCACCCAGCCCCTCCCTGCACGACGGACACAATAATCCCGTGGGCTGGTGTAGCCAGGTTCCTACCAGTATAAGTGCTTTTGCAGTTTGCCCAGATTCCAATGCGCAATTGGAACTTAATTGGGAACGAAAAAAGCACTTATAGATACGCTTCATCAATGGGCAGCTTAAGCTCATCCTATACCCTCGCAAGTAAAGGTGGCCGTGGTATGTACGAGGGTGTGGGTTAATAGATTGTTAGCGTGGGCTGTCAATGCCTTTAAATTTTTAACCTTGCAGTTATTTTACCTGCATGATATTTTATTCACCCGCTCCCCCCCCCCCCCTGTAACTCCAACCCTCCTATCTCCCTTGCGCATTCCACAGATGCACGTTGAAGCCGCCAAGTTACTTTCCTTTACAGAAGAGGAGTTCATGAAAGCTCTCGATTGGCGCAGCTGAGTGTGGAGTACATGCCCCCAACGCGGAAAGTTACGGCTTCAAATTCTGGCTGCTTTGAGCTGTATGATTCTACTACTGTATTCCTTTGCACTGAGAAACATTTTAGCTTTGCTGCTGTAAAAGTCGCCGAAGGACAGACAATCGAATCGATATACTTTCCAAAGTAGCATCAGAATGTTAACATTGTACATCATGGTTGTGTATGTACTTCGTGCACATTTTTTGTTATCTACTATCACAAGAAACTTTTTTAACGATGTAAAATTGAAGTGATTTTAAATATTGACAAAATAACGAAGTTGCTTTTATTTATGGAAAGTTGGATTAATAAAAATGCAAAACTATTTTGGGTGTGACAAGTGTTGTGAATCTTGGACCACATCGGGGTTTGATTCTTGCTTAGGGTGCAAGGGCTCCTTGGGTTTAAATCCCAGATGAGCCATTTCCTTTTTAAACACAAGTGTCTAATAGGAAAGATGAAAAGATCACGATGAGTTTGAAGGTAAACAACCACTAGATTACTCGTAAACATCTTAGTGAAGTAGAAAAAGATTGGACGCTCATTTAACGTGTGTAGAGACATCAATCCTCAGGGTTTATGTTCAACGAGACTGGATGTAATTGCAACATACAGTACTATTAAAAGGAGCGTTCAACAAAGATACCATTTCTCCGGTTATTCACAGCAACATTAGAAGATGTTTTCCCAAAAAATGTATATATAAAGTATTCACTTAAATGGAGAAAACGTTAACCATCTAAGATTTGCTGATGGTATGCTTATTACAACAACCAATGGATGTGGTCTATAGTTGATTGAAGAATGTAATAAAGGCTGCAGGTTGGGCGTGGGATACGACTAAAACCACAACATAACACTTGTCATTTGAATTCATAAAATATTTATTTTACCATTTAGGTATTGTATTTACAAAACTCTTTACACCTGTAAAGTCTTTTCAGTTCGTAGGACCTACAACTCATTTAAATAATTCGTTTATACATATTCCTTACCTGGCAACGTGCGTGCACAATCGTTGCACAGCACATTCACACCTCCGTGGTCTTTATTTTCTATCCCCATGGCTATTTTATCCCACAACTGCCTTTGTAAGGAGACGCATCGTCTCAGCGGTGCCCGCCGTCTGTCTTGCCTTAAGTTTGCCGTTGCCACAGCAATGCGGAACACGAGTGAACACGAATGGGCAGGCTCACGGCACCACTCGGATACAACTAAGAAGGCAGCCCTCATTGGAGGCACACGTGAGGAACATCACGAGTATCTTATACTGGTAGGAACCTCCTGGTTACACCAGCCCACAGGGGATTATTGTGTCCGTCCGTCGTGCATAAAAAAATTGGAAGGGTGGGGCTGGGTGGAGAGGGGAGGGTGGGGAGGGGCTGGGTGGGGAGGGTGGGAAGGGGCTGGGTGGGAGGTGGGAGGGGTGGGGCTGGGTGGGGAGAGGTTGGTCACTCCGTGGTGTCCTTATAAAACTCAACGTTTAACCTACTCACGCCGGCTTGTGCCCGCCCTCACAGTCGGGCATATTTGCGGAATACACCACGCCGCCGTTGACCCTGGCCATTGACCGAGCAACCCAACGTTCCTACCAACTCCCTCCGCAGGAATGTTGTTATGGCAGTGGTTCTTAACCTATACTGCAGCATGCACCCCCCCCCCCCTTTGGTTCTCAATCGTAAATAAATAATTATGTTAATAAATACATCGGCTTGATTCAACAAAGTAGTTGTACTTAAATTAGATTCGAGGCTTTCGTGACTGCAGGAATTACTCTTTGGTTCTTTCGGTAAAGTCACGTAGAAATTAAATTAAATTATAATATAATACGACGTTTCTATTGCAACACAGGCAACCATCATCAGGTACAAATGAATGAGAAAACATAGTAAACTGGTTTCGATGATTTACCATCTAAAAAAAAATCTGGCCACGTCTCGCACACCCTGAAAGGGCATCTCGCATCCCCAGGGGGTGCGTGGTGCACCATAGGTTAAGAACCACTGCTCTATGGGTATCTTCTGACATCAACAGCAATACAACGTTTTACTTAAAATACTTTTGGTCAAAAAATAAATATTAAATGCTGGCGAGCAAGGCCTTGTTCTCCAACGGGATTAAATCTAATTGACTGTATTGTGTCAGTAGCTACAAATAAATCGCTAAGAGCAGTTAAATAGTCACGTTTGAACAGCTGTGCAACTTTACAGCCAGTGGGTGACCTAATTGAATGGTAATGTCACACCTAAAGTAATACTGGTAGGAACCTCCTGGTTACACCAGCCCACAGGGGATTATTGTGTCCGTCATACAGGGAGGGGCTGGGTGGGGAGGGAGGGGCTTGGTGGGGAGGGGCTGGGTGGGGTGGGGCTGGGTGGGGAGGGGAGGGTGGGGAGGGGCTGGGTGGGGAGGGTGGGGAGGGGCTGGGTGGGGTGGGGCTGGGTGGGGAGGGGAGGGTGGGGAGGGGCTGGGTGGGGAGGGTGGGGAGGGTGGGGAGGGGCTGGGTGGGGAGGGTGGGAGGGGTGGGGCTGGGTGGGGAGGGGCTGGTCCACCCCGTGGCACCCTTATAAAACTCAACGTTTAACCTACTCACGCCGGCTTGTGCCCACCCTCACAGTCAGCCATATTTGCGGAATACACCACGCTGCCGTTGACCCTGGCCATTGACCGAGCAACCCAACGTTCCTACCAGCTCCCTCCGCAGGACAATGTGTTATACCCACCCACCTACCAATATGATAAACTGTCATGAATTATGGTTGAGATGCAATAATGTCTCATGAGTAGCTCGTTTGCACACGCATGCTCCAATAGCATGCGTGTTACATCAGTATATTACTTGCATATATATTTTGTTATAAATCCAAAGTAATCAATACTCGTGCACAATTTGTTGCAAGTAATGAGCGTAAAAATCTATTTTAGTGGACGAATGAAAGCATCATCACACACTTAATGGTGATGATCAGGGCTAGTGCTAGAGTCTGGTGGGATTAAGGTTAGGAGGGTGAGAGGTAGTACTAAGGACTTGTTTGCCAATGCGGTTAAGAGGCAAATCTGGAATCTTGTTTAAGTGTGATTAGGTTTAGGTATATGGTGTCATTGGTAAGTGTAATTAGGTTTAGATGTAGCATTAAGGTTTGATAGCTAATGTGGTTGTGGATATTAGTGCTAAGAGCAGGTTGGGTAGTTTGTTAGGGTTATGGGTATGACTTCAGTCAGTCTGATTGGCTATTCTGCCTACTCCTCACAGTTCGTGCCTCCTAATCAAACCTTAATATGGCTTCAACATTTATCCACTTTTCGCTCGGTGTTGGGGGCCACTGTCTCGGCATATGCTGCCGCACCGGACTTGCTCACATAGCCCATAGAGCGTGAGACACTGCAGCCACTTTCACTGCTGGGGGCGTCGTTGGTAGTGGCACGGGGGCATCATCGGTGGTGGCGTTTGTGGTGGCGTTTGTGGTGGCGTTTCTCCATCGGTAGTGGCGCAGGGGCATCATCGGTGGTGGCGTTTGTGGTGGCGCGTCTCCGTGGGTAGTGGCGCGGGGGGGGGGAGCGTCAGGCTCGCGAGTGCCGCTCGTGGCTCGCGTCCTCCAGCTGGTAGGCAGGGCGGTGGCTCTCCACGCCGCGGGCGTTGGTATAGCACAGCGATGGGTTCTTTCTCGTGTTCTTGCGGCTGCCCAGCGACGTGTACCTGACGCGGCGACACAACAACGAACGCCGCACAGCGTCCCACCACACCAATCAGCTCAGACCTGCAGAATCATACAACGTAATCTAAACGAAGAACTCTTTTTAATTTTACCAGGGAAGGCCCTAATGAGCTATGTAGCTCTTTTTCAGAAGCGACCTGGCCACAAATGATCGGTCACCGAAGTGGCTCATCGTGTGGAAATTTATAGCAACCAAATACTCATGCTTCTAAATGTGGAGGGAAAAACTGGAGCACCCAGAGAAAAATCCACGTGACCACTGGGAGAACGTGCAACCTCCAAATATACAGCTGGCGTCAGGGTGGGGATTTAACCCACGACCTCCTGTATACCAGGCGAGGAAGTTAAAGCCTGGAATGAGCCCTTGATCATGGAAGCTAAGCGATACCAAACGATGTGTTGCAAATTGGAGCAAAATAAGATCACGTGTTTAACACAGGATACACCGTTTGCTACTGCATGCATATTTCCATCATGGTCAGGAATTGAACCCAGGTCACTGGGACGATAGTATGAGGTTTCCCAACCAAATGCGCCACAATCTCGGTTGCATACGCACACGCTTCCTTTACAGGCTGTAAAGGAAAGTGCTGCTAACAAGTACACACGAATGATGGCATGGCACAGGAGGGCATACGATGGCTGGCACCGTGCCTGGCCACCTTTGCCCAGTGCTGATGTTCACATACTGCGCTCAGTGCTCATTTTAGGTTGTCACCCTAGGGGAGGCCGTGGACAAATTTAGATACTATCTGCCATTTGCTTTGGTGCACAGTCTGGATTTAAACACAGATAAGCAAGTGTGTAGCACAGTGCATTAACGCAGTGTGCCATGGCTCATCATACAAATAAAATGTGCCCCATATAGCCCGCACGGGCTGTTGGGACAAGTTCTGTTAGCGAGCACGGCACTGCACGTGGGGGTGGTGTGGCTGGCACCACACCCGCCCGCTTTTGTCTCCCCATTGGTGGTGCTTGCACATTGCACCGGGTAATGATCTACCTCGGGGTGGCCCAGGACTGGTTCAGAAAATCGCCACTGAAGTTAGCCGTCATCGGCAATTAAACTCAGGCAGCCGAGTTCACAAGCGCAATCCGCTAACCGTCAAGCTGCTGCTCCCCATCAGACTAACATACGTATACACGCACAAACACTACCGGTACGCAACTCCCACATCAGCAGCAGTGAATGAGCACAGAAAACACGTGGTGTGACTGCCCTATGCAACCGAGCTCATATACGGTGTGAAAGAAGTTCAACGTACATTACTTAATTTATATATGTGGATCTCCAATAAGCATTCAAAGGTCTGTGGGGGTTTACAATGAAGCTGTTCTCTTAAAATCAGGAAGGGCAAGGTCCTATAGTTTCCATGCCCCTCGCGCCTTTGAAACTCCATCCCAAAATCATATCAGGAATGCAAGGGCAGTAGAAGCTTAAGTCAAATGTAAAAAAGCATTTGTTTGTATAAGCTTCGTCGTGAGAGGGATTGATTGTCCGATGGTGTTTTTCATTGGGATGCTCGTCAAGAGGAGTGCTATATTGTATGTCCACGTGTTTTATTTGGATCCCTACTGTCACCGCAGGGGCTCACCCCTTGTCGTAGAGAATGCAGTAGGGGACAAAGAGGGTCCGCAGGAATGCCCAGATGTCGTGGTAGCTCCAGTCCTGGGAGGACAAGTCATTGTTAATGACAACATTGATTTTATTGATCAATATATTAATACGAATGATAAGAAAAAAAATATGGTATTAAATTCACGGTTGTTTTCATTCATTTTGGAAACGCAAGCGCTGGGAATTAATGCTTTCAATTTGAAATGCAGGTGGTTGGGTGGTTCAGTGATTCAAGCACTGAACCATCCAACCCAAGTGTGACGAATGAGTGGATGGTTTCAGCTCAGTCACTGATTACTGTGCAATATTTGGTGCATCGCTTAACTAGCCGATGATAAAAAAAATTCAGGTTGACGTGTAATGAATTATTTGCAGAGCATACACAAGATATGCACACTCATCATGCATTTCCGTGGAGCATTATGGGTAAACTCAAACATAAGATGAACTTCGTTTTGTGTCCGCACATATGATTCAAATATAATCTAGTTCAGCCGATTGGAAAGCCAAGTGCAAAGCCAACAATCCAAGAGCAAATCAAAAAAGTGAACAAGCTGATGCAATGCAAGTTCTATATGAGTTATGCTCTCCATGTGGGAAAAAGAGGCTCATTGAACAGCCTCCAGCAGTAGTTCCTGGGGCAATTCTCCGACACACGGCGATGTTACACTGCTCACAGTGAGAGCTGCGAACGGAAAAAAACACCTTTACCCCAGGACACCTACATCACAGCGTCAAATGCAAACGGAAAAAAACTTGTTCTCAGAGACGAAACTTGTGCGTGTGTGCGTGTGCGCGGGCGTGCGAGCGCTCACGAGCAGCGGGTTGATGCGGAGGAGCGGAGGCCACCCGGGGTCGGTGGGGCACACGGACGCCAGCGTGCGGGGCCCCGGGTCCGTGTGCCGCGTCCCCATGAGCACGGCGCGCGAGCGCGGGCGGCAGCGCGCAAACTCGCCGAGCGCAGTCCGCAGGTCGCCCTCGTACACGTGGCTCTCGGCGCCGTACCTGTCCCACGGTGGCGCCGCCGCCGATGCCGGCGAGTGAGGCAAACGGTAAAGGTGCAGCCCTGACACCGCTTGCTCGCGGCACTGTTTTGCAGATGGGCGTGCGCTTAATGGGGGCTCTAAGAAGCCCGGTCCCTCGAGAGAGTATTTGGTCTTCTTGGTTCTTTCGGTAAAGTCACGTAGAAGGGAAATAATAAAATAAATAAAATAAAACATAATAAAATACAATTCTCACGACGTGTTGGCCACAATGCAAGCAGCCGTCCTCAGGTGAAGAACAGGGCTGTCGGGCTGTCATTCAGACGCTGTCTTTTTTTTTATTATTTCCCTTCTACGTGACTTTACCGAAAGAACCAAGAAGATGAATCCCTGCAGTCACAAAAACTTTAAATCGAAAAGAGTATTTGGTCTTCTCATCCAGGCTGGGCACAAAGACTCGGAAGAGGTGGGAGTATCCCACGCTTTACCCCACCACACGTGACCTGCCGATCGCATTCCTGCAGTGTACAGGAGAGCTGCGACTGCGGTGAAAGGGAGATCGTGCGACACCCCTTGCTTTGCACACTGCTTGAGGAAGGCGCCTGTACTGTGCAAGATCTGCGAGCTGAGATGCCCTCGCCAATGGGAGGACATTTGACTTTGGTGCATGGACATTAACAGATGAAGAAGTGCACCCATTGATTATTCTGGGTGGGCAGAGGCAGTTGGGTAATTAATAATCTTGCACCATTGTTTCAATTGTCGTGCTGGGAAATTGAATCAAATCAGCGACCTCTAGATTGTAAGAAATTGTGCTTATATTTCGAAGAATACGGCTGCACGTTTGCAATTGGGGATTTTTTAAGAGTATATTTAATCACTTAATCTATGCAACATTACATGCCTAATATGTGGTGTTGCGGCCAGGCGATGATCTGTTAAAAGTCAATAAAGGTGGCCTAGAGTGAAACCCTCTGTGTGTGTATGGGGCGGCACATGGGTCTGTCCCGTGACCTCCTGCCAGCGGGGGTTCGACACTTCACGTGGCCTTAAAGTGTACTTAGCCTGGCACAAGCGACGTGGTGACGTCACTGCCACTTAGTGGCGAATGGCGGTTGTTGTTGTTGGGAGTGATGGCCACTAGATGCTCACCTTGGGCACGTCTCCTTAATGAACTGCTCCATCTCAGGGAAAGCACCCGGCATCTTAATGTACAAGCAGTGCACGGTGCCCAGCTGCTCCTTATACTTTCTGCTCGACAGACACAGAGACAGAAACTGATTCATGCAGAGTCACAAATTGCATTCAATTGATATCATAATAACCAGTGCCAATTTAAACGCCAACGATTATAATGCAAAGCATAGAATGGGAGAGCTGGCAAGAGTGGGAGACTGAAAGGGGAGGAAGGAGGAGAGAGCAGAGCAGTGAAGTGGGCAAGAGTCAGCAGGAGAGTAGGCAGACAGAACAGCAGCACAATAAGAGTGTGAATGGTCGGATAGGCTGGCAGACGAGACAGAGTGCAGGTGGACAGACAGGGTGGGCTAGAGAGAGACTGGGTGGGTGGGTGGGCGAGAGACAGACTGGGTGGGTGGGTGGGCTACAGAGAGACTGGGTGGGTGGGTGAGAGACAGACTGGGTGGGTGGGCTAGAGAGAGACTGGGTGGATGGGTTAGAGAGAGACTGGGTGGGTGGGCTAGAGAGAGACTGGGTGGGTGGGTGGGCTACAGAGAGACTGGGTGGGTGGGTGAGAGAGAGACTGGGTGGGTGAGCTACAGAGAGACTGGGTGGGTGGGTGGGCGAGAGACTGGGTGGGTGAGCTACAGAGAGACTGGGTGGGCTACAGAGAGACTGGGTGGGCTACAGAGAGACTGGGTGGGTGGGTGAGAGAGAGACTGGGTGGGTGAGCTACAGAGAGACTGGGTGGGCTACAGAGAGACTGGGTGGGTGGGCGAGAGAGAGACTGGGTGGGTGGGTGGGCTACAGAGAGACTGGGTGGGTGGACGAGAGAGAGACTGGGTGGGTGAGCTAGAGAGGGACTGGGTGGGTGGGCGAGAGACAGACTGGGTGGGTGGGCGAGAGACAGACTGAGTGGGTGGGCTAGAGAGAGACTGGATGGGTGGGTGGGCGAGAGACAGACTGGGTGGGTGGGCTAGAGAGAGACTGGATGGGTGGGTGGGCGAGAGACAGACTGGGTGGGTGGGCTAGAGAGACTGGGTGGGCGAGAGAGAGACTTGGTGGGTGGGTGGGCTACAGAGAGACTGGGTGGGCTAGAGAGAGACTGGGTGGGTGGGTGGGCTACAGAGAGACTGGGTGGGCGAGAGAAGACTGGGTGGGTGGGCTTGAGAAAGACTGGGTGGGTGGGCCAGCGGGCCAGGGAGGCTGAGTAAACCTGGCGGCGGCCGCGTAGAAGAGGTGCAGCAGCACGGTGCAGTCCTTGCCGCCGTTGAACGCGACGCAGAGCTCGTCGAGGGAGAAGCGGCCGAGCGCCTCGTCCAGCACGGCGAGCGCCGAGCGCACGCGCTCTCCAGCGGGGACCCTGACGCCGCGACACCCGCGCACACGCCGGCGTCACACAGCAACGCCGACTCGGCCACCGGCACGTGTCGTCACGGGGTACTGCTTCCGGTTGCCGAACGAATACAGCATGGAGCGTAAATCATCACACAGACTCCAGTCATCCTAGTAGCAGCAGCAGTAGCGGCTTTTGCCCTACCATCATACAAAGACGGTCACTGCATCGCGCGCTTTCAGATGCGCTTCTGTGGCTGCCTGGAACGTTCTTCCTTCCGATATTAGAAAGCTGCTGGAGATATGCACATTTAAATCTAGATAAAAAAAAAATTTGAAATGATTTTTTGTTTTTTGTTTTTTGTCCTTCTCCTGCACCTCCACTTAGCATGGTTGGCTACGTATGGTGCAAAATAACTTCTTCACACATACATACAACAAAGTTAATGAGCAGGTAGTTGGGTGGGTAACTGTGAGGGTGCCACGGTTGTAAGATGTTAACTACCTCGCCTAGTATACAGGAGGTCGTGGGTTCGATCCCGACCCTGACGCCTGCTGTATATTTGGAGTGTGCACGTCTCTCTCCCTGTCGTCGCGTGGATTTTTCTCCGAGTCCTTCCGGTTTTTCCCTCCACATGTAGAAACACGCGTTTAGAGTATTTGGTGGCTATAAATGTCCACGTGATAAGCCACACTTTGTTGAGCTATCGTTTGTGGCCAGGTCGCTTCTGAAAAAGAGCTGTATAGCTCAGTGGGCCTTTCCTGGCAAAATAAAAAATAGTTTTGGTGGATGGAATGAGCAAGCGATCGCGTGAGTCAGTGAGCAGGCGGCGGCTAGCTGGTCACCGGAGCCAGAGAGCTCGTAGACGGCAAGGGCGGCGACATGCACCGGCTGCCGCTCCATCCGCACCACGGAGCCCGCAGGGAGCCGCTCCTCCAGGAAGCGGAACGCCGCGTCCACGGCGCCCTCCGACTCGCCGTCCAGGGTCAGCTGCAGGCACACGCCGCCGCCGCCATCGTCAATGATCGTCATCGATACCGATCAACGTCACCGTTATTGTCGTCGTCAATATGAAGAACTCCTATTGCCAAAGTTACATTGCTGCATGGGGTTGGTTAACCACCATAATCTTCCACGAAGCTCATGGTCCACCCTAAACAGCACCCGCACAAACCATGGCAGATACGGATACCTGATGCACAAATGGAAAATTCTCCAGCGTGCAACTGTGGTGATCCAGAACGGACCGTACAACATATAACGACAGCAATGCCCGATACACAAATACGAAGGAGACGTCACAGCGATACACTCCGCTGCTCCTGAAGCAGTTGTCTGGCTTGACCGCCTGAATGTAAATTAGCTGTTGCTCTGCATCTACATCAGCCATGCGAAAGAATACCACCATAATCACCATCACCAGCATAGTTACCACCACCACCAATCATTATCGTCATCGTCACAATTACCATCATTACCAACACTGTCATCTGAAATGCATGCATTCATACATATGTAGTGGCTCAACTCGGAGGCAGTAATTCTTGGAGGCACTTCTTTTATTATACTCAGTCGCCTAGGCTACACACACCCTAGCCTATACACAACACTAGCCGTCTAACACCGATGGCGCTGACCAGTACAGCCAACAACTGTATAACAGCGCAATATCAAGCGACTGCGGCGACTAAGAGAAGAATGACGATGGACTTGAGCAGCACGACAGGGATCCCACTTACAGTCGACAGCCCCGAGGTCCCCTACAGGGGCCCCTCTTATACTGTCACGTGGCCTGGCTCCGCCCCCGGACACGCCCCCTTTCTAGAACCTACCAGCGAGTTCTTGGTGTGCCCCTCCTGTGATATTTCCCCTCAATCCCCCTCTGGTGTCTAGCCTGGCCTGCTGACGTCAGGGCTGACGTCAGGGCTGACGTAAGCCGCAGATCCTCTTCCCTGCCAGCAGGCAGCGCTATGCTGCTACATTACTCTCCTATGCCACTACACATACACATGCTGAAATAAATGCATACACACTCATACACACACACCAGTAACAACAGCCGCCGTTTGCCACTAAGTGGCGGTGATATCACCACAGCGCTTGAGCCAAGCTAGATGCACTTTGGGGCCACGTGATGTGTCGAAGGCTCGCTGTCAGGTTAGGGGACAGACCCAGGGTGTTTTGAGTTAATAAACACACACTCTCACACGTAAATACAAGTTTTGCCACTCATAATCTCAGAGATAGACGCTCAAACACACAATCTCACACACAAAGACCTCCCGTATAGCCTGAACAGACTGTTGGGGCAAGTGCTGTTAGCAAGCACCAATGAAGGCCAGCACAGCACACGAGGGGGTAGGTGGCCAGCACCACACCCGACCGCCTTTGTCTCCCCAGTGTTGATGTTCAAACACCACACCAGGTACTCATTTGAGGCAAAGTCGATTCAATTTCCCAACACGACAATTGAAACAATGGTACAACATTCTTAATTACTCCACTGCCTCTGCCCACCCAGAAGCATAATGTTAATGTCCATCCACCAAAGTCAAATATTAAACTTCTTTCGCACCGTACGTAGCCACAGCTTGCCGAGACAGCAATGCGCGGTAGAGATTCTATGAGCATGATTTTGCGTTTCTTAAATTACTATTTACATTACATGGCAACCGTGCTAATCGGAGGTGCGGGAGAATGACCGGCAGATGCACCACCTGTGCCCCCCTACTGTGCCAACTCGTGGCGCTTCCGCCACCCCGGCACCGCAAAGCGCGCGCGCGCCTCCGCCCTGCACGCCCACCTTGACGCGATAGTAGTTGCACAGCCAGTCCGGGTAGGAGCCGAGCTGCACGGCCGGCCGAAAGCGAGCATCGGCCTCGTTGAGCACGCTCGCGATGGACACCTCGTCGGTGTTCACCAACATCTCGCGCGAGTGCTCCGTCGCCATGGGTGTCCCGGCGCCCACCACCGCCACCAGCAGGTCCTCCACTCCCACGAACGCTCTCTCAAGCAGCGTGGGGATGCCCGGGAACAGGAAGACATTGCGCACGCTCACCTGCGCCTCCGCACACAGCGCAGTGACGACGATGACGGCGACGATGACGGCAAAGGCGACGGCTCTCCCCAAGTCCCATGGCTCAACGGGGTTTGTCATTCAGAAAGCTATCGGAAGTGAAGCGACGTCGTAAAGTCACCGGAAGGACACGAAGAGTACAATTAGAGTAAAACCTTGGACTATGACCTTGAGTGGTACAGGGAAAACTAAATGTTAAATGTGGGTAAAACATGATTATGGAAAGTTATTTTTTGCCCTATAAAGCATGTATTTCAGGCTGTGTGTCTATGGTTCTAGCTCATGGCTCTCCATGAGAGTCTACTGAAGACTATGGATCTCTAGGTAATCCTATACTCGACACTCCTGATCCTATCCTTATCCGCATGACAAGTCACTTCGTTAGGCTATCATTTGTGGCTAGGTCGCTTCTGAAAAAAGCTAGACAGCTCAGTGGGCCTTACTTAGTAAAATAAAAACAGCTAGTTAGCCCTGGCCTCAGTGGTGCTGCTACCTGCTCATAGTTACCGGGCAGTGTGTCTACTCTACCTGTAGATGTGCCACCGTGCCAGCGTGCGTGCGTGCGCGCACCACAGGGAACCTGAAGCGCTCCCCCGTCTTCTTGTCGATGCCGTAGTTGAGCGTCGCAGTCGAAGGCACGGACGCCAGCTTCATTCGCGCGTCACCGGTCTCCGCCTCGCCAAACACGGTACGGCAGAGCGCCACCAGCTCAGGGTTTGGCACCAGCGTGTCCCCGAAGGCCCGGGCCACGGCCTAGGGCGTCCACGCAGGAGAGCGCAACCATAGCGACAACACGAAACACAAATGTAACCAACCGGGCAGTCGGACATGCCCGGCGCATGGTGCGTCTCCCGAATACTTTACAATGTTTAACTTACTCAAGTCTTGGATGCAGTCACTGATCTAAGAGTATGCTTATATGCCATACAGCATCTCTCACCTCTCCGACACGGCCATTATGACCCCCCCCCCTTCAAAGCCACCGGGCCTCACACCTCGAAGGTGACGTCATCGTGCGTCGGTCCGACCCCTCCGCAGGCGATGACCAGCGAGTGGCGCTCGGCGAGGAGCGCCAACTCATCAGCCAGCGCCGGCACCGAGTCGCCCAGCACCGAGATGCGCTCCACCCGCACGCCCAGGGCTCGCAGTCGCGTGCACATGAAGTGCGAGTTGGTGTCCGGGGTCCGTCCTTTCAGGATCTCGTCTCCCACCACGAGGATGGCCGCGGAGCGCGACGGCGGCGGTCGCGGTGGTGCCGCGCCGGCTCCTTCGGGGCCCGACGTGACGGGAGACGCCGGTTCCCCCGTGGGCACGGCATGGCTCATCTGCCTGGCGAGGACTCGGAGTCTGTGAATGCGACGGGTCGGGCATGGTGGAGGTCACACGCAGTGAACAAACCCGCACGGCGTGTTGCTGCTCATACTTTTAAATCTCGATTGAAAACGCTTTTCTTGAGAACTGCTTTTTATGTTTTGTTTGTTGTCCTTCCCCGAGCGCCTCCGATTAGCACGGTTGGCTACGTACGGTGCGAAAGAAGTTCAACATACGGTGTACATACTCTAGTAAGTGCATTACGATGCATCGATTCACAACCAATTCTCACGGTCAATAAAACGCACAGCACAATGCGTCCGAGCATACAGATTACCACGTGATTATAAGACGCAAGCTTTACCTCCCGTATTTTTATTTCAGCAAAAGTTTGAGGGCCCGTTATACAATCTGGTAGGTGTGTCCATATGTTTGTATAACTTTATTGAGACACCACGTGGGATGTGCGCACATTCGGGGGCGCTGCATCTTATGTGACCAAACCTTCAGTTTCAGTTGCATTTATTAGGTAGAGCCCTGTGAGCCATTCGGCTCTTGAATCGGGTGCAACGGCAACAAACAAAAACATGAACAAGAAAACATCTTATAAAAGTAACTATGCGCAAACATTCAAACCTTCGTCCAAATGGGGGCGGACAGTAACCGGTGACGACGAATTTAAACCAAGTTCATGGAAACAAAATAACACACGTGTTATAAGTAAAAATAATATATAAAACAAAAAAAATTCTCACGACGTTTCGACTGCAACACAAGCAATCATCATCAGGTGTGAAATCCTACGTGATGATGATTGCTTGTGTTGCAGTCAAAACGTCGTGAGAATTTGTATTGTTTTATATTTATATTATTTTATTGTTTCCCGAAGTTTTAATCTAGTTTTGAAGTTTTAATCTAGATTTGAAGTTTTAATCTAGATTTGAAGTTTTAATCTAGATTTGAAGTTCTAATCTAGATTTGAAGTTTTAATCTAGTTTTGAAGTTTTAATCTAGATTCGAAGTTTTAATTTAGATTCGAGGTTTTAATCTAGATTTGAAGTTTTAATCTAGATTCGAAGTTTTAATCTAGATTCGAAGTTTTAATCTAGTTTGAAGTTTTAATCTAGATTTGAAGTTTTAATCTAGATTTGAAGTTTTAATCTAGATTTGAAGTTTTAATCTAGATTTGAAGTTTTAATTTAGATTCGAGGTTTTAATCTAGATTCGAAGTTTTAATTTAGATTCGAGGTTTTAATCTAGATTTGAAGTTTTAATCTAGTTTTGAAGTTTTAATCTAGATTCGAAGTTTTAATCTAGTTTTGAAGTTTTAATCTAGATTTGAAGTTTTAATCTAGATTTGAAGTTTTAATCTAGATTTGAAGTTTTAATCTAGATTTGAAGTTTTAATTTAGATTCGAGGTTTTAATCTAGATTTGAAGTTTTAATCTAGATTTGAAGTTTTAATTTAGATTTGAAGTTTTAATTTAGATTTGAAGTTTTAATCTAGATTTGAAGTTTTAATCTAGTTTTGAAGTTTTAATTTAGATTCGAAGTTTTAATTTAGATTTGAAGTTTTAATTTAGATTTGAAGTTTTAATTTAGATTTGAAGTTTTAATTTAGATTTGAAGTTTTAATTTAGATTCGAAGTTTTAATCTAGTTTTGAAGTTTTAATCTAGATTTGAAGTTTTAATTTAGATTCGAGGTTTTAATCTAGATTTGAAGTTTTAATCTAGATTTGAAGTTTTAATTTAGATTTCAAGTTTTAATCTAGATTTGAAGTTTTTATCTAGATTTGAAGTTTTAATCTAGATTTGAAGTTTTTATTTAGAGTTCAAGTTTTAATCTAGATTTGAAGTTTTAATCTAGATTTGAAGTTTTAATCTCGATTTCAAGTTTTAATCTAAATTTGAAGTTTTAATCTAGATTTGAAGTTTTAATCTAGATTAGAAGTTTTTATTTAGATTTGAAGTTATTATTTAGATTTGAAGTTTTAATTTAGATTCGAAGTTTTCGTGACTGCAGGGATCCATACTCTTTGGTTCTTTCGGTAAAGTCACGTGGGTAGAAACATAAAATAATTAAAATAAAACATTAAAGTGGAGCACTGAAAACCCGCAGTGGAAGTTCCACGTTCGTATGACGGGGGCCAGTACGTCCATTAAAAAAAAACCACCAGCTTACGGCACGACACCTCAGACCATCGCAACTTGTGAACGAAAGCACTTTCGTTGCGTGCAGTGTAACGATGATTTACATTTGGGTGAAGTTGTTTTTATCTTTAAAACGAACGCGGCCTCGCCTGGATAGGCCGAGGCTTCATCACTCGAGCAGCCCGCTGATCTGGATTTTAGAAGACAAAATTAAAAGTGCGTGAAAAATTACGACGATTAATGTGTTGTTTTACCTGGAGCCGCTACGTCCAAGGGAATAGAACAGACTCGTCATCTGGCGACAATGACATGGAGTGAGATGTGTTTTTAAATGTTCTCATCGCTAAGATTGCATTCGAGGGTTGCGGCCCTAAAAGTCTCCCCGCTGAAACAATTCGAGTTTGTTTTTTGTTCCGGATCATTGGGGCCCGGCTCGTACAGCGTGGTCCAGATGTATTGTGACCCCCACCCCCCCCCCCCAGACATTTGTGACGAGGTGGGGGGGGGAATGTGACGTCACATTAAAATACGCAACTTTAAACAAATAGACAACACGTTTTACTTAATTAAATAGACTTTTTAATAAATGTTTTCTCCTACAACATCAGAGTGCAGCGCCACATTAAATACGCACTACAATGGCAATTGTTTAAAGCGATTTGAAGCATGCTTTATTTTTTTTTGGGGGGGTGCAGAGCTTTGTGACGTCATATTTGAGGGGGGGGTCTGACTTTTTGTGACGCCGTGTGACGAAGGGGGGGGGGGGGTCAAAAATCGTCCAAAATCGCGTGACATCATTTATGAACGGCCCCTTATATTTTGATTTAAAGCTTTCGTGACTGCAGGGATTCATCTTCTTGGTTCTTTCGGTAAAGTCACGTAGAAGGGAAATAATACAATAATATATATTTTAATATAAATATGGCCCTAATATGTTTGTAAGTACGGTTAATTTACTGCCTTTTCCAAGCTTGGGAATTGATGCAATTTGAACTTATATACTTTATTTTATTTAAGGCACGCCACGGTGATAAGATGTTAACTACCTCGCCTGGTATGCAGGTGGTCGTGGGTTCGATCCCGACCCTGACACCTGCTGCTGTATATTTGGAGTTTGCGTGTCTCTCTCTCCCCGTGGTCGCGTGGATTTCTCCTGCGGGTCCTCTGGGTTTTTCCATCCACATTTAGAAACATTCATTGAGATCATTTAGATACATTTTCTGCTATAAATGTCCAAATGATAAGGCCACTTTAATGAGCTGTAATTTGTGGTCAGGTCGCTTCTGAACAATAAGTTAACGCCTCGGTGGCCTTTGCCTGGGAGGATGGGGTTGGTTAATTTGCACGTGTTTGGGTGATGTTTACCTTGTACTTTCCACTCCCATCGTATGTTTGTGTTTTGCTATTGCAACGTTCTCACCCCATGCCCCGACTTGACGTCTGTAAAAAAGAGCCGTAGAGCTCATTGGATCCCTACAATATAAATAAAGATTATCATTGCATCCCTACAATATAAATAAAGATTATCATTGCATCCCTACAATATAAATAAAGATTATCATTGCATCCCTACAATATAAATAAAGATTATCATTGTATCCCTACAATATAAATACATATTCTCATTGTATCCATACAATATAAATAAAGATTATCATTGGATCCCTACAAAATAAATAAAGATTATCATTGCATCCCTACAATATAAATAAAGATTATCATTGTATCCCTACAATATAAATACATATTCTCATTGTATCCATACAATATAAATAAAGATTATCATTGGATCCCTACAATATAAATAAAGATTATCATTGGATCCCTACAAAATAAATAAAGATTATCATTGCATCCCTACGATATAAATATATATTCTCATTGGATCCCTACGATATAAATAAAGATTATCATTGCATCCATACGATATAAATTAAGATTCTCATTCTCACTGCGACGCGTCCCACCTCATGTCGACCTCAACTGCTCGCACGACTTCACGAACCTGCCAGGTGCCCTGCAGACCACGTGCTCCCATCTCCAGTTTCTCGGTGCGATCCCGAGGGCGCTTATTTTTTTGCTCATTTTGCTCCAGGTTTTTTGAAAACCTACAAACTGGCCCGATTTCTGTCTGAGAGCCTGCTTCCATTCACGGACAAGACCACCTCAGTAGTACCTAATTCAGCTCACTTGGTTTCTCTAATCAAGGAAATCTCACTTTCTCCAGATGATTTGCTTGTCAGCTTCGATGTAGTCTCTCTGTTCACCAAGGTACCTGTACCTGACACCATAGCAATCATTGAAGACTTGGTCCAACAGGGACTGAATCCTAATGTACCAACTTTGGTGAGGCACTGCCGTACCAACACTTACTTCGTCTGGAATGGTACATTCCAGATGTTTTCATGGAGAAATTTTAAACATGCCATCCTGACATCCACCCTACGTCCTTCCCTGTGGAAGAGATACGTAGATGACACTTTCGTCATCTGGTGACATGGCCAGCCAGCACTGAACCAGTTTTTCAACCACATCAATTCCATACACCCACCATCAAATTCACCATGGAAGTGGAAAATGATGGCAAGCTACCATTCCTGGATTCCTATCTAAAGCCTGACTCCCACCACCATCCGGCCCAGAAGAACTCCCCCATAGGGCCCGCTGCATCTCCGACCAGCGCCACCTAGCCAGTGAACTGGAGCACATACACCAAGCCCTCAAGATGAATGGATACTCAGGCTGCACAATCCGCAAAGCTGTAGTCCCAACCATTGGGAGACAACAATTTGAGGACCCAATAAAAACCATCACCTTGCCATAAATAGCAGGTGTTACCAATTTGTTTCCTAAAATCTTAAACAAACACAAGATCCAGGTCCGATTCAATACAGTACACAAAATCCGTGATTTGATTCAATCTGTGAAGGATGTTAATACCCTAGTGTCTACATACTAAGTTGTGTCTGCAGCAAAAGCTACATTGGGGAAACGAAACGACATGTCTCGGACCGTGTTCGCGAACACAAGGCAGATTTGAAACACGGCAGAACAAATACCTCTGCAGTGACTGATCATTGTTATAACGCAGTGGGCTCGCAGGATATTGCTTAATTTCTGAGACCAAGGTACTCTGCAAACCTTCGGGCTACCATAAAAGATTTGTCCATGAAGCCATCCAGATATATAAACAGAGACAATTTTAACCCGAAAGATGGGTATAGTCTGAGCAATCATTGGAAGGAAGTTATTAACCAAGCAAAGTCGTAACTTTCTGTGATGCTTCTATCCTTCCCTGCCGTTCGGCTGTTATCGCCGACTCTGAGTTACATTGCCCTGTGGGATGCCTCTGCATTAACGGGCTGGGATCTCACTAGCATGGCCACCTCTGCTCCCTTAGCCTCGATGTATCGATGGTTCTGGCTGTGTGATGGGCTGTGTGTCTCACTGGCGCGACCACCGTTGCGGTGGTTCTCTTGCGTAGACGCGCTTGCCTCTCACAGCACAGTTGGCAGCGCCGTAGTTTGTGTTACACATAGACATGACATTAACTTGCTAATCCCCCTAATCTCCCTGCCTAATCTCTCCCATCAACATAGTGCTCATCTCCCATTAACACTGCCGTTGTGCGCATATGCGGGGGCGATACTCTTATGCGGCGACGGAAGCTCATTTCATGCTAATCTCTCTCCCTAATCTGTCTCTCTTCCTAATCAACACAACTTCTTCCATCAACACAACTGACGTGCTTGCGTCCGGGGATGGAATTCCTTTCCAGCTCAGACCGCGCTTGCTTGCCCATCGCCACATATATAACCTCTTGTTGTAACAGCTCTCTCGCTGGTTCAACAGTTCCACTGCTGGATTATTTATATTAAATCCTTTATATTAAGTTCGCTTGCTTGCTTGCTTAGGACCGTGCAAATCTTTCGGTCGTTTTTTAATCCACTTCCCGTGATCCAATCGAGCTGACATTTTCCACACAGACTCGTTGTGCGTGACAATTAATGTTCGTGAAATTTTTTTTCCAAAATTTTACACTTTTTAGGACAAAAATATTATATTTAATTACCAATTGCTTAATGCTGCCATGCAATCATCTGACCCATAGGTGGCAGCCATCTCAAGCCAGAGGACGAGAGGACTCTAGCCGCCACGCATATAAAGGATTTATAGTCAAAAACTTTGTTTTTACGGGTTCTACTTGTTTTCTGCCTGAGGACGACCGCCTGTGTTGCGATCAAAACGTCGTGATATATTATTTTTGGTTTTATTTCATTGAATATTTTTCTAACAACGTGACTTTACCATTACGATGTTGGTTTCGCGTCTTCAACAGATGCCCAAACGACCCGTCGTCTGCGCCACGCGTCGACAACGGCTGCCCATTGCCGTGGGTTTGTGTTTATTTGGAAAACACATTCCCGATAGCCATTCACATACACGAAGACGATTTCCTCCCGCCTTCCGCAACGATGGATCACAGATGTTTATTGCAGCTCGTTCAAACGTCACAGCGGGGTGCGTTACGGTTCAGGGTTGTGGCGAAACAAACTGCGCTGGCAATCAATAATCGATCATCGCTACGGTGAATTACACGGGGTGGAAATCAATATGGCGAACGCCTAACACAACGCGCGCTTCTACGTAACTTTTATCAACGTAATAAAAAAAGTGGACATTGACAATGCAACATATGGTGAAGCGTTCTAATTTCACTTCACGGTAAAAGTTGATAAAGCTTACGGCACGCGGTAGACGCATTAATGGACGCGTCGTGAACGGCCAAAGCAGTGTGGGTTCTTAGCGACATTTCTATCCACAGGAGCATGCATTTCGTACCGGCATCTGGGTGTTTTGCTCTACGGACATCAGCGAATCATTATTGAATCATCATTATTATTATTGTTTAAAACGCAATGGGCTAAATATGTCTAAGTGGTTAAAACTATGGGGAGCGTCACACAATTCGTCAAAGCATTATGAGCAACACTTAAAGAAAATACCACGTGGCTCTATTTAAGCCCAGAAGCAGTGGGTTGCTTCACTATTCTGACACACCACCCGACGATGCTGCATGTAATTACCAGCGAAACGTCGTACTACTCAAGTTGTCGATGTTGTGGATGTACTCTCCAACACACCGGCGGGCTGAAGTCGTAATGGATTGGTCCAGACCAGAGACGATGCATATTGTTACCAGAGCATGTTTCTGTTTGCATGTTCACCACAAGGATGACGTGTGGTTAGTGCGGACGTGATTTATTGCAAAAGGTGTCCGATTGGTGTTTTAACATCTTAACACAACAGTTTTATTGCCAGAAAAGGGTAAAACCAATTCTTCTATTTTGATACTGGCAAGAGCGGTCCCATGATGCTCAGGGTTACTGTTGGGGCACCGAGACTTGGGATAGAGGAAGGGGGGGCGCTTTTGATCTCTTTGTAGTTGGTGACAACCAATCCAGATTGCACTCCTACAGGGGTGTGGTCCAGATGTCTCGTGACCCCCCCCCCCCTTTCAATTTTTAAAACTTAAAAAAGTTGATTTAAAACAGAGGTGAATGTTTTAATTTTCGATTTAAAGCTTTCGTGACTGTAGGGATTCATATTCTTGGTTCTTTTGGTAAAGTCACCTAGAAGAGAAATAATACATAATAAAAATAAAACAAGAAAATTCTCACGACGTTTCGATTGCAACACAAGCAATCATCATCAGGTGTGAAAACCACAGCAAGATTTTATTATTTCCCTTATACGTGACTTTACCGAAAGAACCAAGAATAGAGATGAATGTGCAAAGGGTGAAAAAAATGTGATGGGTCAATTAATCGGGGGTCGGTCACAAGACATCTGGAGCACCCGGTACAATCTAAGGCCCATTGAGACGCAGGCTGCGGCATGGTTACCGTGCAGGAAAATAGTTTAATGCGTGCGGGGGGGAATGTCATCGCCGCACTACGCTGACAAACACACACCTAAACAAACCGTGAAACGAGAGCCTTACGAACGCCACGTTGACGAGAGGCATGCAGACATGTACACTCTGTGTACTCTGGCCTCAGTAACCTGTGGGGGGGGGAGGGGCAGATCCGTGGTTTTGATCAGGGGGCCCACACACATAAGACTGAGAATCACAAATCTAAGGCGGACACAAAGCAGTTTGTGACTGCTGGGCGACATCTGAAGCAGTCGAATGGATACCAAATCTCGACGTCAATTTGCGATCTGTTGCAATCCCCAAAAATGCCCTTACGAACAAAGCTGGGCACTTTCACGTTTTACAAGTAGCGCATTACGACATACGAATGAACACGCCGGTGTGACATTAAGCATACACGACTTCACAATAAATATGCAGTACGCTCGATAGCTTTTCGAATATGCGGGCAAGAAGTCCAGAAGGTTATTTCCCGAGTAAGCCAATTGAGATGGACAGCTCTTTCGTCAAGGACGACTTGGCCAGCAGACAAAAAACACTCAAGAACTAAGACTTTTAAGAACCGCTCGGTACTGGAGCGCTCAATGAACCGCAAAGACCCAACTCTTTTGGTACAAATGAAAAGTAAAAAAAAAAGAAAATAGGCACATCGTGATGCGAGCGGTGGCGTGCAGCGAGTGAAGCGGGCCAACACGACGTCTCGCGACAAGGGTCACACGCGGGGTCACACACGGGGTCAACGGCCTGCCAACCTTGCGGTCGTTTCAAAACAGATGCCAAGGTGCCACAGCACTTCGGTTCGGCCGTTTGTAAGCTGTCTGGCCACGTGCAGTGCCGGATTAAGCTAGTGCGGGGCCTGTAGCATGATGTTATAAAGGGGCCCTAAATAAAAAAAACACGTAAATATTAAAACACGAATTTTTAACTTGCACAGTAAAGTAATTGTATTTTTTTATTTGCTATACAGTTAGATAATACGACAAATCGCTAAACTTAAACACCCAGTCGTTCATAAAAGTTGAAGGCGGTATAGTACTATAGCAATAGAGCAAGTGCAGGATCACTGAACCGGAACCGATATCTTGAAAGTTGTTAGCAAGGGGCCCTTGACAATGCGGGGCCCGTAGCTACTAAATATGTAGTAGCTACTACATGTGTAGTTACTACATTTGTAGATACTTTTGCTGTGAGGATAATCCGGCACTGGCCACATGGGGAATGTTGACGCGGGCTCAGACCTGTCGAGAGTGGGGCACATCGAACCCGTCCCACACGCACTCAATCGAGCAGCGAGACGTTGCGACCGCTTCAATCGAGCGCATTGTGCCAGGTGGCCGTGCTACTCATTGCAACAACATCCTGGGGGAATAGGTTTCACGCTTTCCACTGCGGTGATGGATTTACCATGGGCTAGCAATCTACGCTCCGGAGCATTCCAACGCATTCGGCTGCTGTTATGGTCTCAGGTGCGTTATGTTGCACTACACAGTGCCCACCCAGCAATCATCCATTATTACAACGTTATGATGAAACAGCTGTTTGACCCACTAATACGAAGATCCACCGTATAGCCGACAAACGCTGTTGACCAGCATCGATGAAAGGCTGCACGGTGCACGAGGGAAGGCCCAGGATCAATTCAGATATTTGTCACCGATGTTGGATGCGAGCGGGAATCGAACCCGGGTCGCCAGGTTCGAAGCACAGTGCACTAACCATGACACGACCACTCCCCTTCAAAGACAACAAATACAAAGATCCCCCGCATAGCCTTAACAGACTGGTGGGGCAAGTGCTGTTAGGGAGCACTTATGCAGGCCGACATGGCACACGAGGGGGTGGGTGGCCAGAACCACGCCCGGCCGCCTTTGTCTCCCTTGTGGCAACATTTTTAGGCATCGCACCAGGTACTAATTTGAGGCTGAGTCGACCGAGGGGAGGCCCAGGACCAGTTCAGATAATCGTCACTGGTGTTGGTCGTGAGCGGGAATCGAACTCGGGTCGCCAGGTTCGTAGCGTAGCGCGCTAACCGCTACGCTACTGTTCCCCACCTTCACACACACACACGTGCACACACGTGCACACAGAGGATTCCATCGCACGAGTCTCATCCCTCTAAACCTCCGTGCGTCTCGCGTGGAGATTCGAGACTCGCAGGTGCTCAGCCAAATCGCCGCTGCGATCGTTTCGAACGACTCTGCCCTCTGCACCATTGAAGATGTCTCGAGATTTCAGGATGAAGGAGAGATGCGTACGCAAGGGGTATAAAAAAAAAAACAAATGTCACTCGCGCAATCCAGACCGCTGTTCATATATAAATCGTTTAATAATGGGCGACAACTCTATACACTCACTGTATTCGCGTCCACGTTTGTTGCATTGCGTTTCACTTGCGCTTGCTCAGATGTTACTCAAATACCAGAAGTGTGTTTATGACCCATAGTCTCATATAAACTAAAGACGCCTCCTGTTTAAAATCACAACACTCATCTTAAATCATAACTCTCATCTTGGCCACTTAACATACCAATTCAATGTTTTCTCTCTTCAAATCCTAACACTTACGTTAGTTACTCCAATGCAAACATAACCCCAATCCTTACATCAGTGTTATCAAAAGCTCACCGCTTATCCGAAATCTACCGATAACATTTCCAAACCAACTTTACGTTCGCGTGACCACGAGGGCCGATCCCAACGTGATCCCAGCCTCACCATCACCGTCGTCGTCATCGTCGTCGTCTGAACCCCCCAACGCTTCGCCCCGCCCTAACCCTCTCGCCTTGTCCAATTCGCCCACCGCGCAGCGCTCGCACGCGGCGGGCGAACTTCAACGTGTCGGACTTGAGACCACGCGGGTGAACGCGCGTGCGGATGAACGAATGGGATGGGAACGCCGTGCGGCGGCTGCTGCTGCGTCGCCGCGTCAGAAGTCGCAGCCGATGAGCTCCACCCGCAAGGTGATGCGCCGGTACCACGAGTAGGGGAGCACTCGCACGTAGCGCGCGATTATGGGCGGGTTGAACATGTTCTTCTTGTGACTGTTGTTGTCGTAATTTCCAGCAAAGATCTATAAAAACACACAAAACAACACGCACACACACAAAACAACACGCACACACGCAAAACAACACGCGCGCTTCTGTCGTCGACTCCGATTGCCCGTGCGGTTGGATACGTGCGGTGCAATAGAAGTTCAACGTACGTACAGGTGACGAGTCTCCCCCCCCCCCCCCACCGCTTTTACGACCTTTCTTATAGTCAGTAAGACCCCCACAGTAACGACCAAAAACTCGTATCTACGACCGTCTAACGTCTGCTTCCGACGCCGAGTCGATTGGCGACGAGTGTGCGCGTGATATGCTCGCGCCCGTCACCTTATGGCGCCGAGTCCGCGAATGTCACGCGCAGACTCATCGCCAGACGACGCCGCTCTGCTCTTATGCGTTTGTGTGTTCTCGCCGTCAGCCTGCAGCTGCGTCTAGAGCGAACGCAGCGGCGTCGCTTTGGCAACGCTCTTCGCAACGCCCCGTGGTCGCGAGGATTTTTCTCCGGGTCCTCCGGTTTCACCCCCCCCCCCCTCCACATTCAGAAGAATCGACGTCCACGCGTCCAGAGCAGGGGCGGGGCAACCTGCGGCTCCGGAGCCTCTGAATGCGGCGGCTCTTTGAGGGCCGCTTCGTGACCTGTGTTTATCAAGGACCCCCACCGTCTCGTATTCACACACTTTGCCTGCTCTTTATAGGCTTTGTTTGTTAAAGAAATTCGACAAAAATGGCCACTGATGTTCGTTTAGAGGATTTGGCCGCTATGAATTTCCACACGACAATAAAAGCCACTTCGTCGAGCTATCGTTTGTGGCCACGTCGCTTCTGAAACACAGCTACATGCCTCGGTGGGGGCCTCACCTGGTCAAATAAAAACTTAGTTTAGTTCTAGATTATCCAGGTCGACCGGCGGGCCGGAGCCTCGGGATCCGCTCTCCCCGCCCGGGCCGCCGTGCCGCTCCCTCACCTTGTCCCGCCGCGTCTGGTCGTCCTTGTAGACGGTCCACGCGGCGCCGTCCTCGCTGGACGCCACGCGGTACGAGCGCACGAACTGCATGTGGCCCAGGTCGCGAGCTCCCTGGGTCACGATGCCCGTGATCTTGCGACCCTCGCCCAGGTCGATCTGCGTGCGGCGGCGGAGGAGAAGGCGGTGGGGTGACAGCAGCAGCGCGATCCGACAGGAGCTGTGTTGATTGGCTACACGGACTTCATCAGAACGTTTATTTATACTGGGAGGAGAAATCCGACGAGCTGTAAAGCTCTTTTGGACAGATCTCCAGTAGGGGCACAGGGTCAAATCGTTACAACAACAATAGAAAAACACGATAGGAGTGCAAAGTATAAGAAAGGTCGACATTATTTAGGTCTTTCGTTAAAGTCACGGAGATAGGGTAAAAAAAAAAAAAAACTACGACATTGCGACCGAAACGTCGTTGTTTTTGTCATTTTCTTTGAACCTATCTACGTGACTTTACCGAAAGACCCAAATTAAACGAATTCCTGCAGTCACGAAAGCTTTAAGTCAAGGTAAACGCATCACTTTGCTGATCTCGTCAAGGAGCATAAACCATCACGTAAACTCCGGTCTTCCTTGCGGCAGCTTTTGGCTGCTGGCCATCGAACAAAGACGGTCAGATGCATTTCTGCGGCCGTCTGGAACGCTCTTCCGATATTAGGAAGCCACTCAATCTATGACTTTTAAATCACCTGGATTGAAAACTAATTTCTCTAGAACTGCTTTTTGTTTCTATTTTGTCATCCTTCGCCCTGCACCTCCGATTAGCACGGTTGGCTACGTACGGTGCGAAAAGAAGTTCAGCATACAAACAACGTGATCTAGACGCCACGAGCTTCCACACCTGCAGCCACTGGTTGGGGTCCCCCTTGGCGGCCGACCAGGCGTTGATGCGGCCCTGGCGGTTGAGGCGCGCCAGGTGCGGCTCCCACGTCCAGCAGGGCAGCCCCAGGGTCTGGAAGACGCTCGACGCCGAGATCTGCGTGTCGCCAATGAGCCCCGACTTCAAGCCCAGCGGCTCGGAGCAGCCTGCAGAGGTAGGAGCAGCGGTAGCAGCGGCAGTGGCAGCACCACGCACACGAGGCGGGGAGGTCACTGCGTGAAGCCTCACAAGCAGGGCCCCGCACCCGGGCAATCGTTCGGGCAACCAAGTCGCCCTTAAAATCGTCGCGCACCTCCGATTAGCACCGTTGGCTATGCTCGGTTGCGAAAGAAATTCTAAATACGTACAACGTACATGCATAATCGTCCACATCTTGAGCCAGAAATTGGACGAGGTTTCAGTGTGTTTTTTTGTTGTATTATTATTGTCCGCGAACATATTTCATCAGGAAAATCCCTTGAGATGGAACATCCCACTTGCAAAGGTGTCCAGGGTGTGGATCAACACAAAAACAAACACAAACGACACGCGTGCACAGCATTTAGGGCGCGTGCAGTTTTCGTTTTAATCCACTTCTTTTCAAAAATGTAACGTTACACTCCACCCAATGGGAGGTCAATCCTTGAAAAGCTCCACCGCTGCTTTCGGTCAGGACGGGCAAATGGAAACAAACCTGCCTGCCCCTCCGCTCGTTGAGAGAACGCGCGCAAGACGCGACACGCGACGCAGCGTCACGAGACTCGTGACAAGCAACTTGGACAGCCGTTAGAACGACGCGGCCGGGGGGCCACCCGAGGTTGGCTTTTTTAAAACGAGCGGCAGCGGCCGGGGGCAGCGGCGTCCCAGGGCGGGTGAACGGGCGAGCGGGCGAGCGGGCGAGCGGGCGAGCGGGCCGCTTTACCGTTGGTCTCGCAGCCCAGCAGCTCCATGCGCAGTGTGCAGCGTCTGCGGCACGTCAGCGGCATGAGGCGGACGAGCGAGGCCACGATCGGGGGGCTGAGCGTGTTGGAGCGCGGGGAGCCGTTGTCCTGGTTCCCCAGGAACACCTGCGGACATCCACGCGGTAAGTTGTCGCTCGATTTCAAGTGTTATTGCTGAACTAGCTTCTACGCGTTCCATCGCTTCCCGGAAACATTCGTCCACTCGGTTCAACGTTCCTTACCCTCCCTATCCATCATCCGATTGCTGAGAAAAATAACAAAATGTGAAAATTATTTTCAAAAATTCATAAAAGTGTAGCCCCTGCAATTGCTCGCTCACGCCACTGCTGGTGGAAGGGCCTCCACTGGAGTGAAATCTATCGGGTGTTTGGTCTACTCTTCCACGACCAGATTAGCGGCGAACCCATTCGTACTGCTGGATGTAACGGAAGCGGGGAGACTTGAGAATTTGAGAAACCCGCTCCCGCTGTGTCAGCTGCCCCACCAGAAGATGGCATCATCCCCGACGACTTCTGGATCACCAGGACCGGTGCACTGCTGATTATTACACCGCTGCACCACCTCCTATCTTTTGGATGCAGTAAGACCCCGATTAACGTCACCCCCTTTTTGCAAATACGTCATCACTTTATTACCAACACCACTACCTGATTTGCGCCGCCTCATCCCCCACACACTCACGTCGCATCCTACGTCCTCTCTCCCCATCGGTCGCATCTCAGCCTTAGCCTCCACCTACCCTGTACACGAAACTGCTTTGCGTCGCGCATGAAGAAATGAGTCCAAAAAATATTTACGTTTGGGACAAAATTGCTTTGATCGACGTCGTTTCAATATTCGTCGTCGCAATCTTCAGGAAGGCGTTACTGTATTTGTAAAATGAGCTCAGTGTTGTTGGGGCTAATATCTCGCCGCGCTGGTGAGATGTTAACTACCTTGCCTGGTATACAGGAGGTCGTGGGTTCGATCCCGACTCTGACACCTGCTGTATATTTGGAGTTTGCTGTGTTCTCCGGGTCCTCCGGTTTTTCCCTCCACATTTAGGAGTCAACATACATCACGCGTTTAGATTATTTGGCTGCTATACATTTCCACGTGATAAGCCACTTTGTTTAGCCATCATTTGCGATGGCCTGGCCGCTTCTGAAAAACAGCTACACAGCTCAGCGAGGCTTTACCTGGTCAAATAAAAATGGCTTTTGGTTACAAGTGGCAGCGTGGACGGGGTGCACCACCTTGTCTCGGCCCGTCGCCGCGTCCCGGTACACCGTCCAGTTGCGCCCGTCGCTGCTGTGCGCCAGCTTGAACGTGCGCACGTACTCGGCGCTGCCGAAGCGGCTCGCGCCCTGCGTCACCACGCCCGCCACGCGCAGCCGCCTCCCCAGGTTCACCTGCCGACAAATCGTCGCCACCTCTGCATCGAGCACATCTTTGATGGTATCATAAAAAATATATATAAATAGTCGTAAAATGATGTGAAAAATGAATTAGGGCCTTCTGCCTCCAGCCGGGTACCTGTATCCAGGGCTGCGAGTCCCTCTGCGCGGGCGTCCACGCGTTGACGATGCCGGCGCGGTTGAGGCGCGCCAGGGAGGGCAGCCACCGCTGCAGGCCCATGACCGCGACGAGCAGCGACGACGCCGTGATTTGATCGTCACGGATGTCTCCTCCTTCCAGGCCCAGCGGAGACCAACAGCCTGCCGCGTGAACCAGCGCGCACGCGCACAGGGAGCAGTCGCGCGGGGGCGGTAGCCCGGTGGCGAGCAAGCGCACGCCGCTACTAACCTGCTAATCTGAATTCGACTCTCATTGCGCAGCCACCATCAGTGGCGAATGTCTAAAAGCAGTACCCGGCCTCCGGCTAGATCGACCTCGAGTGCCTGTTGCAGGGGGTGGCCGAGCGTGGCACCCGGCCACATCACCGCGTGGTGCGCCGTGCCGGCCTTCACAAGGCTCTCGCTCACACAGCGCACGCACCGCCTGCTTGCGGAACTCTTCCGGCTCGAGGCCACAGAACGAGAGAGCGACCGAGTGAACGAGCAAATAACGAGCAAACGAGCGAGCGTTCGCGAAGACCCCACACCACCCCCCCAACCCCCACAATCGGCGCCCCGCACACAGCGAACGTGCCACTCACGCAGGTGACAGTCCTTGCCCATGAACTCGCCGCTGCACTCGCAGGAGTAGTCGGCGTCCAGGTCCGTGCAGATGCCCCCGTTCTGGCACGGGCTCAGCGAGCACTCGTTGATGTCTGGCGACGACAATAAAAAGACGGAGCGGCATTAATAAAATAAAAGAAAAACAAGTAAAATAAATCTGTGGCCGTGGAGTGGCACGGGCTCACGGCAAAAACGCTGTGCCGTCGTGCTCGGCTCCCGGGCTACGCTCGGCGCTTGACGCTGATGTTGTGTGTTTGCATCAACGTGCGTTCGGAGTATTCGACTGCTGCTAGGAATATACACCGATAAGCCGCTTCTTTGGCCTTTCATTTGTGGCTACGTGCTTTCTGAAAGAGCTCAGTAGCCTTAGCTGGTAAAATAAAAATGGTTTAGTTTTTAGAACTTCTTTTGCACCGTACGTAGCCATCCGTGTTAACCGGAAGGTCAACGCAGGACAGAGGCAGAGTCGGAAATTTATTTTATTTCTGCACGAGGTCACATCAAGTCCCTTCACCACCCAACACGGCCGAACTCTTTAAACGGTCATGTGGTGCGCAGGCGATTAACAGCGCACCAATTGTTCTTGAATCGGCTCACAACCACATCTAGCGGTGGTAGTGGCGGTGGCGGTTCAACATCGCGCAGGAATGTAACTGCTGAACCGCGCCGTGGTTGGTGTCGACGGAGCTGAAATATTTCTCCGAGAAAAAGCCACGTCGTGTCTCAAGCGGACCGTCTTCATGGGAGAGCCAAAAGCCCGACCGCTGAGAGACATCGCTGCGGGGATTATGCCCCCCCCCCCACACAACACTCTCGCCACCGTATAGCTTGCAGATGGTTATTTTTGTTTGCCTGGATCTGATGATGATGATGACGATGACTCATTCCTCCTCCTCCTCTCCGACACGGTCGTCTAGACGCCAATGCGGCCGCGTGCCAGCATTTGCCAGGAAAACATATTTCCGCTCCGGCTTTAATGTACGGGGTAATTTGGAACGTGATTCATCTCGTCTCTCTGGAATATATATATGTTTTTTTGTGGTCACACTTCCTTTGTGAAAAAAATACAGTGGCACAGTCTTTGAGCGGCTCCGGTTGAGAAATCACAGCAGCGTTGAGTATGCGGCCTCCCACCCCCTCATGTGCGACAGTGCTCGGCCTTCATAGGTGCTCGCTACACAGCACTTGCCCCAACAGTCTGTTACAAGGCTACACGGGGGATCTTTGTCTTTGTGCAACTAGCTAACAGCACTTGCCCCAACAGTCTGTTACAGGCTACACGGGGGATCTTTGTCTTTGTGCAACTCGCCAACAACACTTGCCCCAACAGTCTGTTACAGGCTACACGGGGGATCTTTCTCTTTGTGCAACTCGCTAACAGCACTTGCCCCAACAGTCTGTTACAGGCTACACGGGGGATCTTTGTAATTGTGCTACTCGCTAACAGCACTTGCCCCAACAGTCTGTTACAAGCTACACGGGGGATCTTTGTCTTTGTGCAACTAGCTAACAGCACTTGCCCCAACAGTCTGTTACAGGCTACACGGGGGATCTTTGTAATTGTGCTACTTGCTAACAGCACTTGCCCCAACAGCCTGTTACAGGCTACACGGGGGATCTTTGTTTTTGTGCAACTCGCTAACAGCACTTGCCCCAACAGCCTGTTACAGGCTACACGGGGGATCTTTGTCTTTGTGCAACTCGCTAACAGCAATTGCCCCAACAGTCTGTTACAGGCTACACGGGGGATCTTTGTCTTTGTGCAACTTGCTAACAGCACTTGCCCCAACAGTCTGTTACAGGCTACACAGGGGATCTTTGTCTTTGTGCAACTCGCTAATAGCACTTGCCCCAACAGTCTATCACAGGCTACACGGGGGATCTTTGTCTCTGTGCAACTCGCTAACAGCACTTGCCCCAACAGTCTGTTACAGGCTACACAGGGGATCTTTGTCTTTGTGCAACTCGCTAACAGCACTTGCCCCAACAGTCTATCACAGGCTACACGGGGGATCTTTGTCTCTGTGCAACTCGCTAACAGCACTTGCCCCAACAGTCTGTCACAGGCTACACGAGGTGTGGGGGCAGGACAACAAACTAAACATGAAGACGCTTTCCCACCGATTGACCGATTGGGGAGAAATCGTTGTTGTTGGCGATCACCTATGGAGGGTGCCGTCACCCCACAGGGAGTGGGAGGGGGGGTAGACCCAGCATTGCTCACTGCTTATAGCAGAGACACACAGGGAGGCGATAAACCAGAGGCTATAAGACCTCGGGGTGGTTAGAATCAGCAAGCGGAGGAATAGAATGTCAACAAAAACCCAGTTACACGTTTGCAACACGCAACTAAACGTGTTAATTTCCCCAGGTAAGACCCGCCGAGCTATTAGATTATTTTTCGGTAGCGACCTGGCAATCATTTGTGATAGCGCGGCTTGGATATTGGATATTGATATCAGCGGCCAAACACTCTTTGAAAACGCGACTGTGAAAGGTATTTTCGTGACTCACAAAGTTTGGTTTTGACTCTACAGTGCTCTCATTGTGCACGGCAGGCCACGGCGGGACGTGACGGAATGAGTCACGCGCTCGCATCTCGTAGTCGTCGTCTCTCTCCGCACCAGCGGATCTTCTCAACCTGGGCTGCAGCCCCTGCGAGATGCCCTTTCAGGGGGTTAGCGAGACGTGGCCAGATTTTGTTTTTCCCGAAGTCGAATCATCGAAAGTTAGACCTTACTTCGTTTCATCAAACCCCGATGTGTTTATTCACATCGTACATTATTTTTTGTTACGATTGAGAAGAGAAGGGGATTGCACGGTTGGCAGTACAAGGTGAAGAAGAACCCGCTGGTTTGGAGCCTCGTTGCCGCCTCTCATGGGGCCCGTGGCTGGAAACAGCTGAGACCCCCGTGGCCGGACACCCCCCACTGCACGACGGAGGGGTACACCACGCAGCGCACACTCCCACAGACACGCGCTCACATTCTCGCTCGCACACACGTGCACACACACTCACAAATCTCTCTCAGACACACACAAAACAAAGATCCCCCGTATTGCATTAACAGACTGTAGGGGCAAGTGCTGTTAGCGAGCACCTATGAAGGCCGGCACGGCACACGAGGGGGTGGGTGGGCCAGCACCACGCCCGGCCGCCTTTGTCTCCCTAGTGGCGATGTTTACACATCGCACCAGGTACTCATTTGAGGCCGAGTCCACCTAGGGGAGGCCCAGGACCGGTTCAGATAATCGTCACTGATGTTGGCCGTGAGCGGGAATCGAACCCGGGTCGCCAGGTTTGTAGCGCAGCGCGCTAACCGCTACACTACCGCTCCCCAGACACACGCACAAACACACACACATAGACACATACACACAATCATCAACATCCTGCCATTCGCCCTCTAAGTCACCACGGCGCCTGTGCCAGGCCAGGTGCACTTGAGGCCACGTGAAGTGTCAAAGGCTCGCTGGCTGGCAGGAAGACACGGGACAGACCCAGGTGCCCGACTGAGAAGCATGTATGTAGTAAGTATGTTGAACTTCTTTCGCACCGTACGTAGCCAACCGTGTCAATCGGGGGTGCGCGATGGGGGAAGGACAACAAACTAAACCACAAAAAGGCAGTTTTAAAGAAATTCGTTTTTTTATCTGAATGTGATGTGTCAGTGGTTAAGCAACGAGGGAGCTCACGGGGCCAATTCGAGGCTTGAGATACAAGTTCCAGGAAACTGGAGTAGGTTTTCAGCCCGACACGAGGAAAGGATTATGGCTCCGTTCCAGCAAATGAAAAACAAGAGGCTCTTACGTGATGATGTTTTGTCCATAGATTTTGAGCGAGCTAAGTGTACTTTCGGCAAATGTTTTACCATCGTACTTTAAACAGCAGCGATTGAGTCACTGGTACTGTATTCAACGCGTTTGCAAAGAAATCCTTGCTAATCCTTTGGTAAGCAGTACAATATTATTTGTGGATTTTTTTGGTCAATTAATTAGTATTGTACATAAAGCGGTATTTATTTTAACCCCGAGAGCGAGATTAAGATGATTTCGCACCGAGTGGGGATATAAAGCCTTTCGCTTGCTTCAGATAATAAGTAACGTCTCAACCGTGAATTGTACGGCTATAAGATGTTGTAAATGGACATGTTGATGCACCCACTTTCCCAGTAGTAGATGAACCGATATTAATCATTGTCTTAATTCGCTATTAATCATCACTTGTAAAACACACACACACTATAGGCAAACCGAGTGATGTATTAACCGTCGTGGGTTCCAGTGCCAAGGATCCTCACGTGCACCCGTGCAAGTTGGCTTCGGTGTCTCGTGAATAAGGAAACAATGAAATCTCACGACCAACGAGCGCGCGCGATGACATCGCAGGCAAAGAGCCACAGCCCTTCACGACGTGGGTGGTGTTGCAGTGCTGCCTGGGGACACACCGGCCACAACACTAACACCGGCCAGGTGTTACAGTAATTCCGATACGAGGAAGCCACTGGGGCGATGCGCTTTTAAATCATCTAGATTGAGAACTCATTTGGTTCAAACTACTTTCTGTGGTTGTTTTTGTCGTTGTCGTCCCCCGGACTACGTACGGCGCCAAATAATTTCGACACACACGTACAGTCCCGTTGTTGATGGTGGCTAGGGTCGGAAAGCCAACATTGTTGTTTCATCGTTTCATCTGTGGAGACGAGAGCCGATGCCGGCGCTGGCCCAGCCTCGGCCGCTGGGCCCCTGGCTGCGGCGTAGCGGCCCCCGCGCGACACCGTCAGGTGACCCCATCACCACGAGGGCACCGTCACATGCCCAGCACGCTCCAAGACCACGGCGTGGCAGGCCGTGGCCAAGATGTGATTTTGGCGGGGCGAGGGGCGATTGAAAGAAATGTTTGAGAGGGAGCCGAAAGTATTTAAGTAGATTTTAAAAGATCTTTCTTTGTTATCACAATTGTTCAGAAACGAGAGGGTGCAAGGTTTGTCACGAGCAGCGTTCACCGACTGCGCCATCCACGCGCTCCGCTCGTGGCGACCCCACCACACGCTCTCTCTCTCTCGCGCTGAGTGCGGCTTGGAGAGATTTCGCTGTGCAGGCCGCGTGTGGATCGCGCTCGAGCTGACGGATAGGTTCGTGTTGGACTCGGCCCTGCGAGCCCCACGCCACCCGCCCACCTCATAATGCAGCGGTAGCATCGGTGGACTGGCAGCAGCAGTTGCAGCAGAATGCGAGTCACAGTCATCTATGTACGTGTGTTGAACTTCTTTCGCGCCGTACGTAGCTAACCGTGCCAATCGGAGGTGCGGGGAAAGGAGGACAAACTAACCACAACAAATCAGTTCAGAAGAAATGAGTTTTAAATCTAGACGATGTAAAAGTGCACGCATCCAGTGGCTTCCTAATATCGGATGGAAGCGCGTTTACAGATGGCCACAGGGGCGCACCTGAAAGCGTGCGATGCGGTGACCACCATCGTCTTCGTTTCGATGGCCAGACAAGCTACACGGACAACGCGCATCGGTGTAGATCGGTGGTTCTTAACCTTGGATGCGTGATGCCCTTTCTGAGAACCAACGGGGTGCAAAGGACTGCAGTAGAAGGTGAAGAAGAACTGGTGTAGCGAATCGCACTTACTGTGTTGACAGTGAATGCCATCGAATCCGCGCGGGCACTCGCACGTGTAATCGGCGAAGGCGTCGCCCCTCGGAGCCAGGCTGATGCGACACTCCCCGGAGTTGTGGCACGGATTTGGCGAGCAGGGACCTGCAGAGGGGGTGGAGAAGCAGAGGCATCACGGTGCGGTGGGGGGAGGTGACACTCCGCTCACAGACGGCGACACAGACGGCAACACGGTCGTACGCGGGGACACGTGTCAGCAAATAAATAAACCGAGAGCAAAGCATGTTACGAATTATCCTCTTAAGCCAGCTCAGCATGGCAAACACAAAAAAGCAGTCTTAAGCCCTGTACACAAGATTATTACCGATAATATTTTGTAAGACAGCCACAGGAAGCTCTGCGATTGACAATGCCCCACACACCACACTGGCAGCAAATTCACAGCTCAGGGAGTCTGCCGTTACCGCACCGTGCGAGTGCGCAGTGAGGCACCGTTACCGCCTCGGGGTGCCACGGTGGCGAGATGTTAGCTACCTCGCCTGGTCTACACGACGCCTCTGTGTTTGGAGCTTGCATGTTCTCCCCGTGGCAGCGTGGATTTTTCACCGGGTCCTCCAGGTTTTCCCTCCACATTTAGAGAAGCAACATCACGCGTTCAGAGTATTTGGCCGTTATAAATTTCCACGTAGCAAGCCACTTCGTTGAGTTATCATTTGCGAGAGCCAGGTCGCTCCTGAAAAAGAGCTACATAGCTCAGTGGGCTTTACCTGGTAAAATGAAAAAAGTTCAGTTCCATGAAAATAGTTCATGGCGATGAAACCCACGACGACGACTCCCTCGCGTCAGCGCACCTCAAATTGAACGTCGGCTTGCCGAGACAGAGTCCATGCAACACTGGCCCCTTCACAACGCGCAGTGCATTGTGGGTCTGCTCGAGTCCGACTTGAAAGGGAGTGTGGTGGCACACCGCTGCCTACTGGGGAGCAGGTCTTGAATGCTTTAAAATTATCCAGTACGATTTCTTGTCACATGCAAAAACACGTTTAATTTGCCACATTGCCCCACAAAACTATTTTATAAAGGGATGTGGAATTGAAAACGCATACAAAACTAAGTGCGTGGCAACTTTCATTAAGAGTGGAAAATAAAAAAACAAAGAAATCTTAAAGTCCGACTTCTAAGACCGCTCTGTGCAGCAAACCAATATTAATTACACATAATGGCTCTGGAAATAGCCGACATAACCTACATTCCGAGATAATTGCACAAAGCAGGATTGTTTTTTGTTTTACTTACAGATCCATGGCATGCCCATTAGCACACAAGCCTTCAAAAACCACGAGGCCCCGCTTAATAATCATGGCATTCGAGCGCCGGAGACGTAGAAACAGCCGAGCGGCGTTGAGACCTGACGTCGCGTTACCGCCGCTCCTCTACCAAGCGCCGGCTGCCGCCAGGTTAGAATGCACAACTTTTAAAGCTTCTAAACAGCAACTCGGGCTCCACTTTATTTGGCATCGTTATTTACAAAACAATATTACGAACCGATAATTGTTTTTTTACCCTTCTATCTGACAACAAAACTGACACAACTGATTATCATATTTTTACTGGCAAATGAGGTTCCAATGGAATATTACGAACCGTAAATGACGCGAGTCAGAGCTCTTTCATGGTAAGAACGGCCGCAGATTCATGCAGAATCGGACTATTTGTACTGGAGGAATCCGATGAGCTTTCAAGCTCTTTTTCACAGATGTCCGGTAGGTGCGGGTCAAAAATAAAGTAAAAAGAAAACACAACAAGATGATTGGCTTACCTTTCCTATACTTTGCACGCCTATCACTAAAAATATAAAACCAAAACTTTTTATTTTATTTTACCAGGTAAAGGCCACTGAGATATTTAGCTTCTTTTTCAAAAGTGACCTGGCCACAAATAATTCCTCAACGAAGTGACTTATCACGCAGGAATTAAAATCGCAGCAAAATAATATAAATAATCAAAACGCACGTTTCTATCTTGGGTCCACACCCGTTCCACGGCCGTCGATTCTCCCCCGTTGCCCGTCCTAAGCAGCGCCTTTGTCAATTGTGGCCTTTGCAAAACGTAATAAATGAGAGGGTCGTTTAAATGATACACGAGGGTACTTTAGCTTTGATATATTTGGGGAGGGGGGGGAGGACACGGAGGGGGGGGGTGGCGTTGTCTAGGGGGATAACAACTCATAGACGGCTACTGAATCTTGAAAACAGGCAGTTTTGTCTCTCTCAATTAAATTCGAATCGTGCCGTCGGGAGGCAAAGAGTCGCGTGCCGTGAGATGTCCCCCACGACGGCAGTGCGCCCCACCCAAGTTGGGACGGACAGATTGCGGGAGGCCACGTGACAGAATCACGTTCGAGCAGCGCTGGATTAAGCTAGTGCGGGGCCTGTAGCATGATGTTATAAAGGGGCCCTAAATAAAAAATAAAACACACAAATATTAAAAACACGCCAATTATTTAACGTGTATAGTAAAGTAATTGTAATTTTTCATTTGCTATACAGCCAGATAATACAAAAAATCGCTAACCTTCAAACACCCAGTCGTTCACAAAAGTTGAAGGCGGTATAGTACTATAGTAATAAAGCAAGTGCAGAATCACTGAACCGGAATTGATAGCTTGAAAGCATTTAGCGCGGGCACCTTGAAAGTGCGGGGCCCGTAGCTACTACATGTGTAGCTACTTGTGCTACGAGGATAATCCGTCTCTGCGTTCGAGGTCCCTTCCCCATTGCCGAGCACCCCACCGGTGCCGAGGCCCGGCAAGTCTCGAGTTGTGGCGGGGCCGTGCCGGTGTGTCGCGGCTACCAGCGAGAGGATTGCAGGGAACGAGTCCGATGGCATCAGGCTGCGCCATGCAAATTACCTTAAGGGATGGACGATGACAATGAGGACGATGACAATGACGACGACGATGACAATGACGCTGATGACAACAAGGAGGACGATGACAATGACGACGACAACGACAACAACGATGACAACGATCAATGCCATATCTTTAGGTGCTTTGTTCCTTCGTCTGTGTTTAATGAACGTCAGCGGCACAAGCCAAGGAGGAGGAGGAGGGCGGGGGGGGGCTCTCGCTTGGCAAATGAGATGCGAACACGGAGAATTATTTACGCGCGTTGTCAAAAATCGCGTTCCTCGTCTTCCCACTCTACATGCAAATAACCGCGTTTAGTCTGCGGCCCATTTCCCAAGCGGGCAACAGGGGACATATGGCGACGATTAATTATTTACAACGCGGGCGGAGGGATGGCCAGTAGATCAAAACAATAAATTTACGGTCCATCCCAACAACAAATTTCAAACGGGTCACGCGTGAAAAACGTATTTTATATGGCGGCGGCGCATCCCAGCATATCAAACTGTCGTGCAAACGGATTTAAAATGTGTTTTTTGTCTTGTTTACGCACCACGCTTGTTTTTTTAGGGTGCTCAAGATCCACAACAGATTTACGATCTCGTCGCGCGACGCCACAATTGGATACCCCCCCGAAGTGGTGAACCAAAGAGCGTACGCTGCACCGCACGTTTTATACGGTGCGTATATATATATTATTAGCTCTGCTGTCGCTTGCACGCACGTACCACTGCTGGCAGAAGGGCCTCCACTACAGGGTGCCCTAGACAGCCCCTCTATTGAAGGTCATTTTGGCCTACTCTTCCATGCCGGCCAGGCATCTTGGAAGTGCCCACGCTCTACCCCACCACACGCGACCAGCAGATCGACTGGCTGTGGTGAAGAGGGGGGCGGTTGTGCCAATGTTTCAACTGCTGCGCCACGAGGCCGAACCGGCGACCTCTGGGTTGCAGGTCCATCGCGCCACGGCAGCATCCTTGGTGGCCGGGCTGGGTGTGGTGTGGGGGCGAGGGAGGCCTGGATGACCCTCTTTATGGGGGACGGTCGTTATTACTTCCTAAACGGGTAACATCCGAAGTTGAGATTCGTGATAACGTCATTACAATAACCGACCCGTGTTGATATATCTCAGGGGGGGGGGGGGGGGGGGGGGAGGTCTTTGACGTAAACTTCACGCACGGCCGACGTCGCCAGTTGCAAAGCCGTACGTAGCCGAATAAAACCACGCAGCCTTTTCTGCCGGTAGATTATTTTTTTTTAAATCCAATAAAGAACAGGGTCGGCTTTGCGACGCATCTCCGACTCTCGTAGATCTGCGGTACGTATATATATCTATATATATGCATTTTTATTTATTCGTCGGCGCAGCGCGAGCAGGTAAATGGAAGCACGCGTGGAAGACGCGAGCGGCGATGGGAGAAGTGCTCTGTCGGCCTACCTGGCAGATCTGGCAGATCCGAGCCCGACGCCTCCGGAGGATTTCCTGCGAACCGGTCCAGACGCACGCCACAACGACAGACACGGTCACGAAACTCCCACCAAGCAGAAACGAGGGAAGGCGAAATCGCGCGTACGCTCGGATTCCGTTCGGCTTGGCAACGTGCGTTTGCCGTCAGAAGCATTTCATTGGCAATGATGATAACGTTACGTTTCAAAACGCGGGACGCGTGATAGTCCGCGAGATGACGTCGTGATCATGGCATCATCGGGAGGGGAGCGGAGACAGCACACTGCCTTTTAGTGCCGGTTTGGGTCTGCGGGTTGAGCGAGCGCTTCGATCAAGGTGGCCGGTTTCCCCTCGGCCGAGTGCCTAATAGGAGGAAGCCACTGGAGCTATGAACTTTTAAAATCTAGGTTGAAAACTCATTTCTAATTGACAAAAAATGGCTGTACACGTGCAAAGGACGTAGGCAGGAAACGCGACGCAAATTCAAGCCGAAGTTACCCGGTGACATTTTCCCGCAATATCGTTTTGTGTTTAGTTTGTCGTCCTTCCCCCGCGCCTCCGCTTAGTAGGTTACGGCGCGAAAAAAAGTTCAATGAACATAACACAGGCCACCCGACTTCGGTTAAGTTTTGTTTTGGCATCAGCAGATGCCCGCAGGTGAGGGGAGTCTATGCCCTAGTCGCTGTTTAAGGAAAACCACGTGGCCAAGATCCTTCCTCGTTTCAGGAAAAGTGCATAAATCACGTTCGGATCTTCTTCGGTGAAAAAAACCTCCATGACAATCACTGCACGTGTTGGTGACCCAGAGTAACCCCACAAGCCGTCTAGGAGAGAGTTACACGGTCACGAATCGATCAGATTATCGCGGTACGTGTTTATCTGCTTGAAAAAGAAAAGCCTTGCCGTTGGGTTCGGTTGAGGGGAGGGGGGCATTGAACAAGTTTATACTCAGCACTCCTCCTGCGGACGGGTTTGGAGGAGCGCCGACTAATATTGGATAAGAGGCCGTTCCCGTGATGTCTCCAGAAATAGTCCCGGGGTGTCGTCTTCTGGCGGCGTTCCCCAGCACGATGCCACGCAACGTCGAGTGACAAGATTCAAGATCGATGTTTTATCTGCAATATCACAGACTTCCATCACCAAACGGTGAACTCTAACAACACGCGATATTACCACGCTCTCTGGATTATAAGATTCTCCGGAATGCAAGACGCACACTCGAAACCTCGTCCCATGGTGACAATAAAGCGACACAAATCTGGTCCGTGACGCGCGCGCACACGGCCACCGGGTTATAAGACGCACGGCCAAACTTTTATTTTAACAACAGCGAGGGGAACGTGCATCCTCTGTATTGCCGAGAATACGGTTTTACTGGCAGCCACCGAAATACATTTTGCGCGCAACTCAGCAGATGAATCTGTGAGTTACGATCACCTCCCTGTGACAGGTGACGGTGATGAATGTTCAGGCCAACCAAGCAAATGGCACCGTCCATCGAATCTCTCGCCCCGCTGAGTATTTACAAACACCTAACGATGAACTTGACACGGAAGGAGAGAAGGTTTAACTGGGAGAAAAAAATAAACCGTACATCAGCGATGTCTACAATCGAGTCGGTGCTAATGATTCATGCCGTGTACAGTGCTGTTCTTCTACATACCAGGGTCGGGGAAGGAGTGTTTATAAAACCACGTACTGTACACGGTTAAGGTTCATAATGGAACAAAAATATGTTCACAAGCAAGCAGTGTCTTTTACAAAAAATGTCCTTCCCTTCAAAACATAAACAAACGATGATTATAATATCTAATTATGACCAATTACAGGTCACAGTACGCCGGTTAAACAAATGTGTCACGTTTTCACGATGGTCAGCACGGCTCGGTGAAGAGGGGGGGGGAGACGGGATCTCACTCGCCACTGATTAAAGCACGGTTGGCTACGTACGGTGCGAAAGAAGTTCAACATATATACAAAGATCCCCTGTATAGCCTTAACAGACTGTTGGGGCAAGTGCTGTTAGCAGGCACCTATGAAGGCCGGAACGGCACACGAGGGGGTGGGTGGTCAGCAACCACGCCCGGCCGCCTTTGTCTCCCCAGTGGCGATGTTTACACATCGTACCAGGTACTTATTTGAGGCCGAGTCGACCTAGAGAAGGCCCAGGATCGGTTCAGATAATCGTCACTGGTGTTGGCCGTAAGAGGGAATCCAACTCGGCTCGCCAGGTTCGTAGCGCAGCGCGATAACCGCTACACTACCGCTCCCCACAACACACACACACGTACGTGCGTGAATGTGAACTCACCATTTTCTTTACTGGAAACGGAGCAATTTGGCCCGGTAAAATTTTCGGGGCAGATGCACAGGTACGCGAAGGTGACGCTGTCTTTCGTGGAGTCCAGCTGGCACGTCCCACCGTTGTCGCACGGGTTTGGATCACACGGCTCCTCACCTGAGAGGGGTACAGGGAGATAGATGAAGGACACGCCACGGTGGCTAGGAGATGTTAACTACCTCGCCTGGTCGTGGGTTCGATCCAGACCCTGACGTCTGCTGTATATGTGGAGTTTGCGTGTCTCTCTCTCTCTCCCATCATCATCACGGTGGCTAGGAGATGTTCACTACCTCGCCTGGTGTGCAGGAGGTCGTGGGTTCGATCCAGACCCCGACGCCTGCTGTATATGTGGAGTTTGCATGTCTGTCCCAGTGAATTTTTCTCTCAGGGTTCTCCGGTTATTCCATCCACATTTTTAATCAACATCACGCGTTCAGAGTATTTGGCTACTATACATTTGTACATTATGATAAGCCACTTCGGCGCGCTATCGTTGGTGGCCAGGTCGCTTCTGAAAAAAGGGCTACGCAGCTCAGTGGGACTTACCTGGTAAAATAAAAATGGTTTATAGTTTTTAAAAGGGAAATAAAAAAAAAGTCCGTTACGATTTTTACAATCACGGTGGAGTGGCGGCGGTCGTGGTTAGCGCACTGCGGTATGAAGCCACCAATCCCGAGATCGATTCCTAGCCACGGCTGACATCAGCAGCAAGTGATACAAGAACCGATCCTGCCCCCCCACACCAACCCCGCTAAGATCGGCGTGGTGAAGTAAAAAATACCAAAAACCCACGTGAAGTGGTTAGGCCTTCATTTGGTTGAATTCGATTAGCTTGAACAGACTCATAACATGCACATTATTAATAGTAATAATATTAATACTAATAATGAAGACCGCTTTGTAAATCCTCTGCCAAATTAAAGCCTCCTCACTTCAAGTTGGTTAAGGGGGTTGATTGACCATACTTCACCATGCTGGTCAGTGTAGCTTTAGTGGTGATGTTAGGGGCTCGAGACTGGTGGCGGATATTACCTGTGGCCAGGAATGAAACTCAGGTTGCCCGGGTCTGCAGTGCAGTGCTCTATCAGTGTGTTCCGGTGGGGGGGGGGGGGGTGTAATACTAAACTCTGTTGCAATTCCTGCCTCGGGACCGCATTCCTGTCAACCCCTTATCAGTACCCCCAGCTTATCACACATCAATTCAGACCTCATTGGTCACCCCGTGTCCCTTATAAATCTCAACGTTCATCCTACAAAGTCCCATCACAAGGGAGAAACATAAACATATAGACGATGCTTCTTTTGCCCGTATTGAAACGGCTGTGCGCGGTATGGACCTTAAATCCCAATCTCCCTGTACACTGTCCGGGTTAACAGGTATGGGACCGATATTCCTGGCCACAATGTCCAGACATCAATGGAAGCTCGGTGTGCCTGGCCCGAGGTAGTCCTCTGTAATCTCAATGAACTCATTCACCTGGCGTGGTGTGTCAACGTCAGCACGAGGTATCACACACACAACACGGATGGGGCCTGGCTTGGTGCTCAGTGACACTGAAAAAAAATCACTCGTCCCAGCGACACTGCAGAAGAAGCCCGGCATGGGGACCCCCTCTGTCTCTGTATTTGTGGTCGTTCGTACCCGAAACGAAGTGAACGCACGAACACACACACGGCGCCTGTGGGAGGCAGCACACGTGGGCCACATTCCACTACAGATAAGAGACGGGCATCGGAGTCGTGCCGCGTGTCGCCCGGCAAGCGAGGACAACTTCGAGGCCCAAGTGACTCCACCGGGGGAGGGGTCAGTGGTTGTTCAGGTGTTGACCCCGCACATGTCAGAACACGCGCCGGCTCGAACGCGTCCACCGAGACGTCCTGAAAAGCACCCTCGAACTGTTACTTTGTAGCAATACAGCCGCGGCTGGAGTTTACCGAGGAATGCACAGAATGCGGGAGGTGGAGGACACAGGGTTAGAGGAGGCGGGAGGGGGTTAAGGGTCCTATAAGGAGTTTGGTGAAAGCAAACACCTATACTGTTGCCATGGTCACGCTTTACCCCTCCCGTGGCTTGAAATAGAAAAAAACGCCATCGCGTTCACGTGGCTCCTCGCACTCCGTGTCCAACAATGTTACCCGTCTCAGCGTCACGCAGGCTTTCGCGACCAACGCTACTCATAATCGAGGTCTCCATCTAATCGCACCGGTACTCGGGCCGTTACACAATCACCTGTACCATTAACAACTATGACGCTGTGTATATTGGTACCAGGTAAGACCCGCTGCGCTGTGTAGCTCTTTTTCAGAAGCGACCTGGCCACACACGTGGCTCATCACGTGGAAACGTGTCGCAGCCGAATACTCTAAATGCGCGATTCTAAATGTGGAGAGAAAAACCGGAGGACCTAGAGAAAAATCCACGTGACCACGAGGAGAGAGAGACACGCAAACAGCAAGCGTCAGGGTCTCGCTCGTACGATTTAATTCCAGCCTCTTGGTACCACGAAGCTCTCTTTGGCTTCTTTAAATGCGGCCAAACCTTGTTTTGTCCGCAGTGATTTGCAGGGACAGGTGCGCCACGGTGGTGAGATGTTAACTACCTCCCTTGGTATACAGGAGGTCGTGGGTTCTAAGCTGACCCAGACGCCTGTATATGTGGAGTTTGCATGTCCTCCCCGTGGTCACGTGGAGTTTTTTCCGGGTCCTCTGGTTTTTCTCTCCATGTTTAGAAACATGCTTTTAGAGTGTTTTGGTGCTATACATTTCCACATAGGCCACTTTGTTGAGCTGCTATTTGTGGCCAGGTCGCTTCTGAAAAAGAGCTACATAGCTCATTGTACCTTACCTGGTAAAATAAAAATAGTTTAGTTGTAGTTTAGTTTAAGAGTGTGCAGATAATATGATGTGGAATATTTAGATGACTTTGCGTGCAGGTTGGAGACGGTGTGCGTGTGTGCACTAGCAGAAACGAGGGAAGGATAAATCGTACCCCAACGCCTGGGCCCCTTCGGGTCCATGGAACCCGGCGGTGCAGTCGCACTGCCTGCACACTTGACAGTACGTGCCACAGCGTGTATTGTATTTGTGTTCAATACCTTTCATGTAAAATATCTTTATATAAATATCACGGCCTAGGGTCGTCTGATAAACCATGGACGCGGCACGGCTGCTGAAGCGCTTGAGTCGCGATTTGACTCAACCCATCATCCCTCCAGGGTCAATAAAACGTGTACCACATTGTGGAAAGTCAGGCACGGTTACTCGGTTTAACACGTCGGCCTTCGCGACCAATATTATCATCCATGCTAAAAGGTTTTTGTTGGGTTAGGTCGCATAAATATAAATGTGTCGTTAAACTCGCACCACCCGACACAGCCAATTATTAAGGCTCGTCACGTAACAAACCTAACCAATTGGCTGTGTCGGGTGGTGGCGGGTTTAACGACACATTTATATTTACGCGATCTAACCCCCGCATCTCCATGACGAAATTCTGGGTCAACAAAAGATGAGCCTCGCCTGAGCAACGGCAACATTCTTGTATTTAAATATCAATGTCACACAATAGCAATGGACTTGCTCGGACCGTGGTAATACCTATGGCGTTTCAAGCAGCCGGGAGATGATAGATCTATGCAGGACTCTGACGATGAGCGTCGTGTGAAATGTCCTTGTTGCGCAATGACTCGGCTCAGATGTGAACAAAGCAGCTGAAGGCGCCTTTTGGCGTCATCTGGTCCAACCCATGTGAGACTAGGCTCTAAGGAAAGCTGTCTCGGGTGTGGACCAATAAACTTCAAGGACAGTGCAGACATTATCAGAGTTGTGTTTTTTGTTTGCATTCCGACTGCAGGTATTGTGGTCAATGCAAACATGACTCCTTGTAAAAAAGGTGTCAGTTTTGTTGCCAGATAAAAGGGTAAAAAAAACAATTATCATATTTTTCTACTGGCAAATGAGGTTCCAATGGTGCAGCTGCAGGCAATTAAGTTGCATAACCGAGCGCTCAGGTGTGGCTCAGGTGTGGCCCAGGTGTGGCCCCCGGCTTAAGGACAAAATTAGACTACTGGGACGCTTGAAGTCATTTGCAAAACAATCTTATTTATTCCTACGGGAGTTGAAAATTGGTGTTGCTGTAATTTTAAGTAGAATCCATCCCTAGTGATATAAATTACGAATGAGCAGAGCTCCGTTCTGTGTCTCAACCTATAAGGGCGTTTCCGTCTTTGATCCACATCAATATTATCCAGGAGTTCAAGCGTGCAAACTTGTGGCCGGTTCCGACATCCTTGGGTCTCACCAGCAGTGAGACATTTCTAAATAGACGTATGGTATTCCGTACATGTGAATAACGATACACATCAAGGGACGACGGAACACCACCTCGTGACAATCAAAGGACCGTTTAATCTTTCGATTTAAAGCTTTCGTGACTGCAGGGATTCATCTTCTTGGTTCTTTCGGTAAAGTCACGTAGAAGAGAAGTAATAAAATAATAAAAATAAAACATAATTAAATAATTCTCACGACGTTTCGGCCACAACGCAAGCAGCCGTCCTCAGGTGAGTAGCAAGCACCTATGGGGTGGCCAGCACCACGCTCGCAGGTGAGGACGGCTGCTTGCGTTGTGGCCGAAACGTCGTGAGAATTATTTTATGTTTTATTTGTATTATTGTATTACTTCCCTTCTACGTGACTTTACCGAAAGAACCAAGAAGACCGGTTAATCATTCAGGGGGAGCCTCATCCAGCAGTGGAATTGCCCCGACGGCTGGGTCCCGGATAATCTCAGCGTGCGTACGGGGCAATGATCCATCCGGTGACCTCGTGGCAAATGCGTGCACGTGCTGTGACGTTGCTGATGTCGCCTACCTCACACGTGGGAAGCAACAGGAAAATTACAGAATCGGAATATTTATTTATAACCGGAGAAATCTGATTAGCTATAAAGCTCTTTTTTCAAAGATGCCCAGGAGGGGCACGGGGTCACAACGTTACAACAACAACAACAACAACCAACAACCAACAACAGCAACAATCAACAAATGTACTCGCCTGTGTGTGCACACAATGGGAACCCTTGACGAGTTCGATTATTTGAACCGGATCCGGGCCATCCCCTAGTTCGACTGAGCCTCAAATGAGTACCTTTGGTGCGTTATGTGCAAGCATCGGCGCTGGGAGAGACAAAGGCGGACCGAGCGTGGTGCTGGCCACCCATAGGTGCTTGCTACTTGCTAACAGCACTGATGTCGCCTACCTCACACGTGGGAAGCAACAGGAAAATTACAGAATCGGAATATTTATTTATAACCGGAGAAATCTGATTAGCTATAAAGCTCTTTTTTCAAAGATGCCCAGGAGGGGCACGGGGTCACAACGTTACAACAACAACAACAACAACCAACAACCAACAACAGCAACAATCAACAAATGTACTCGCCTGTGTGTGCACACAATGGGAACCCTTGACGAGTTCGATTATTTGAACCGGATCCGGGCCATCCCCTAGTTCGACTGAGCCTCAAATGAGTACCTTTGGTGCGTTATGTGCAAGCATCGGCGCTGGGAGAGACAAAGGCGGACCGAGCGTGGTGCTGGCCACCCATAGGTGCTTGCTACTTGCTAACAGCACTTGCCCCAACAGTCTGTTAAGGCCACACGGGGGATCTTTGTCTTGTGTTCATTGACCCACCACTGTACATCGGCTCCGTGTTCGTGTGCTGCACGCGTATGACCGCGTGCCACAGCAGTGTAGCACGCGGCTACATTGCGGGATTCTAGATGACTGTGCCGCAAGAGGATTTCCAGACGGGGAATTTGCGATTCGAATGAAGACACACGCCCTCTAGAAGAAATGGTAACATTGTGTTACTTGAACTATGTGTGCCAGAGCCGGCCCAGCCACTAAGCGACCCTTGCAATTGCAAAGGGCCCCGTGGCCAGCAGAGGGCCCCCTAGAGTCACTGCTGGCGAGTGGGTGAAAAAAATCATACATCAAAGGGGCCTCCAACCAAATTTTTGCTTAGGGCCCCCAAACGTCTAGGGCCGGTTCTGATGTGTGCATATCAGATACCGTACAAGGTGAACATGCAGTCCTTCATGGACTTCCTACAATACTACAATACTGTGCAGTGTATAATAATTATGATATATTATTGGACATTATCTAATACACAGGGAGAACGGTGGTTCAGTGGTCCACGCACTGAACCCGATGGTGACCCAAGTTCGAATTCCCGGCCACGGCTAACATCAGTGGCGAGTTAAATCTGTGCCAGTCTAGGGCCCCCCCACCACCGCCGCACCGGCCTGCCTTGACCGTCGTGGTGAAGTATGGTCAAACAACCCTACCCACCATTGGCACGGCGTTGAGAGATACATTTATCCAGCAGTGGCTCGGCATTACCACCCGTAGTGTAACACGCAGCAGCATTTCACGACCAATGCTACCCACGATATGGGTTAGATCGCGTAAATTTGTGTGTCGTAAAACCGGTCACCACCCGACACAGCCAATTGGTAAGGTTTCTCGCGTAAAACAAAAACACGCAAATTCGTCACGAAACATGCCAATTCGTGCTGGACTAGTAACGAGTTGGGGTGTTTGTTTCTGTGACGCATCTTACAAAGCGTGCCGTGTCGGGTGGTGGCGGGTTTAACGACACATTTTTACGCGATCTAACCCAAACACCTCTACAATATTATGGATTACACGCATCTCCTATAACAATGGACAAAGACTTAAAACCACCTCCATAGCCCTACAATAAACACACGCATTGTGTATCACAGCACTATCGTTGCTTGCAATACAACAAAAATCACGTAGCCTAGAATGTCCCTAAAATAGGGCACATTGTTTAAAGTAAACACACCGCTTACGATACAGACACAGCATGCAATACACAAGCATAGCCTTCACATAGTCCACACAAGGCAGTGGCTTGCTCACAATAAAAAGATCCCCGTGTAGCCTTTAACAGACCGTTGTGGCAAGTGCTGTTAGCGAGCAGCACCTGTCAAGGCGGCCACGGCACACAAGGTGGTGGGTGGCCAGCACCACGCCCGGCCGCCTTCATCTCCCAAGTGGCGACGATTACGCACCGCACCAGGTACTCATTTGCGGCTGAGTCTACCTAGGGGAGACCCAGAACCGGTTCAGATAATCGTCACTGGTGTTGGCCGTGAGCGGGAATCGAACCCGGGTCGCCGGGTTCGTAGCGCTATACGACCGCTCCCCACAACACACACACGCGGACCCTACAACACACCACATCGACAAACGCGTCGAATTGCGTCGGTTTACAATGCACACAAAGCTTACAATGACGGACACATCGCCGACAAAGCACAAACCACAGGCTGCGATCGCAATACTGAACGATGCACAAAACACACACGGTCAGCCGACAATGCACAAAAACACACAGACTGCGAGCACAACGCTTTACGATACGATACGCGCACATACACATCGCGTAACAATGCATCCGTGGCGCGCGCGTTCAACACGCAACACGGAGCAGAGATAATTTAATCTTCGTCTTACCACGGACAGCCGCAGTGCAGAGCAGACACACGAGGAGGTAGCCGATGATGGGACACATGCTGCTGCTGTTGATGTGGCTGTTGTTGCTGATGTTGTGAATGTTGTTGTGGATTTTGCTGCTGCTGCTGCTACAGCCCAGATTTGTCAATAGAAATAAACAGGACGAAGCTGCTCTATTTATAGAGTAGCCAGCCGCCTCTTATTGGGAATCGTATCAGAGGAGGAGGGGGGGGTGATGATGATGATGGCTGCATCCAATCCCCAATGCGCGTGCGATCACGATGAGCCAGAGCCGGCTGCCTTGCGCAGTCGTTCCCGTGCGCGTGCGTGCGCACTGCAGCCACTGCGGTGATGAGATGACGTGAGCGAGTTGTCACAGAGGGCGTCTAAATAACGGCACGAATCCAGGAGCCCTTTAAATAACGTTGAGCTCAACCATCACGAAGCCCCCCCCCCCCCCACACGTGTCACCCTCCACCCCACCCCCATCAACAATGTCGAGCAAGCCAACCCACTCCGCTCCGTTCTGTGACACGCTGCTTTGCAAAATCCACTTTGCACCGCAGACGTCACCCCCTGCCAAGAGCGGAGTGGATGGTTCGGTCCGAGTGTTGTTTTAAAACATCGTGGACTCAACTCTCCCCCCCTCGCGCACGCGCCCCCGAACTCACAAAATGCCAAACACCGAACGCCATGCGGTTCCCATTAAACTGGTTTAGAGACAGGGGAGGGCTCTCACTCGGACCGCGAATCGGAACAGCGGCACATGCAGTCATCAAATTGGGTACATGCCCTTTCGCGTTAGAATTTGTGGGCCGTTGTTGTTTGTTTGGGATGTAATAAAAAAAAACATCGTTATAAAAAAAGGGCCGTGTTCAACGTGTTTTGTTTTAGAAGGAAAATCGGTTTGGTTGATTGTAAGGGTGGCAAGTGTTTATTGTTTTTTTCGGGGGGGGGGAGGTATTCAGCATTGTAACAAGAAAATAAGAGGCGATAATTCTAGGCAATGCCCCTCTCATCGTCATCATAAAATCACCATAATCAGGCCCGAAATGAGTTTATTGTTGTGCCCACCATCCCACGATCTCTATACTGTACTTCCTTTACCACCACCACCACCACCACGTCCAACTCCACTCTTATTCCACCTTGGCTATAGAATTTCATCTCCGGTGTTTCAATGTAGACGTCCGACTTGTCAAGCTGAGTCAACGCACCGAACGAACCATCACGTTTCATTTTGCAACGAGCCCGAATAAACACACACACACAGACAGTGCTGCTATCCATGGCTCTCATGACCCAAGTTACCTATAGACCAGTGGTTCTCAACATTTTTGGCGACTGATGTAACCCCCCTTTGTTCAAATTAGTTTCAACTGAGTCACCCCCAGAAGAAGACGGAGGCTTGTGTTGCCTCCGAAACGTCGTGATTTAATTTATTTAAATTTTTTACCTACGTGACTTTACCGAAAAAAACACAGAGTATGAATCACCCCCCTCCTCTGTGCCTGACCCGACTTGGCTCTGAAAAATAAATGTATGAATAATGGACATCAGTCGTGTGAGCACATGAAGCACAATGAATGTGACAGTCTAAGGCACATCATAAATCACATCACTTAGCCCCTAGAGACACCGCATAACCTCCTGCTGAGAACCACTGACCTACATACTTACAGGCTTTATCAGAGTACTTATGGCATTGAGTTCCAACCAACACGAAGCTGTTGATATGTTGTGTGCCACCTCGAGACACGAGGACCCGAGACGCAATCCCGAAAGCCCCTTGAATAAACCCGGCCCTGAGCAGCATCGTGTCGATAGATTGATTGTTGGAGAATAATGCGCGTAATCAATCAATGGTCGCATTCAACTCCCATTAAACGGAAATAATGATCAGGTCCACCGGTCACGAGACCTTTAAAAAAGCCACGTGATTGTCCCAGCCACAGCTGTTTGTTTAGGAAGCAGGCAAACCACGGGCTGGTTTTCATTTTCTCAGTCTCATCAGCAGGCTCGAAATACCGATAAATCGGTGCCGATAAATCAGGAAAATGAGTGTCAGTACGATCAGGGTCGTGCATGGGGGGTGGGGAGCAATGCTGTATATCCTTTATGCGTTTGAACAACTTGTATAATTCACAAGCACCGATTGACGCACTGTAACTTGGGCTCCATATCGGGTTGTCGCAGGCAGATGTCCCCGTCAATGTTTCTGCTGGACGCTGCACCCTCCTGCTTCCGTACGGCTGCTGATGTAGATGCAGAGCGACGACTCACAGCTTCAATCCAAGCAGACAACCGCGCCAGGAGTAGCGCGCGGTGCGACGTCTCTCGTCGTATTTGTGGATGGGGGCATTGCGTCGTTAGACGTTGTACTACGGCCTGTTCTGGGTGACCACGGTCGCACACTACTACTGCTGGAGAGTTTAAAATGTTACATTTGTGCATCAAATGGAATAAGAAGAAGAAGACTGCATCCTATGAACACAGCCCATTGTTACGCAGTGTATATGGAATGACCGCAAGGCTAATGACGAGGGGGTTAGCGATCCCAGGTGAAACATCACCGTGTGTATCCCAGTGTACCCACATCCCTCTCACTCACTGCCGTGCTGACAAGGGTCGCCGCGATATGGCGGTACGCTGTATTTGTTGAACTTCTTTCGCACCGTACGTAGCCAACCGCGCTAATCGGAGGTGCGGGGGGAGGACAACAAACTAAAGACACAAGAATCAGTTCTAAAGAAACGAGTTTTTTTTAAATCTAGATTATTTAAAATTGCATCGTTCCAGTGGCATCCTAATATCGGAGGGAAGAGCGTTCCAGACGGCCGCAGAAGCGCATCTTTACGTTTCTGAAATCGCTTATTTTCAGGGTGACGCTTGTTGATTTACACCAGGAAGGGACTCAGTTCGATTCCCTATATGCGGGCGCCTTTCTGTGTTAAGTATGTGCGTTCTTCCTTTGTTCTACCTCTGTTTTCCCTCTGTTTTCCCTCTGTTCTCCCTCTGTTCAGCCTCTGTTCTCCCTCTGTTTTCCCTCTGTTCTGCCTATGTTCTGCCTCTGTTCTTCCTTCTGTTCTGCCTCTGTTCTGCCCCTGTTCTTCCTTCTGTTCTGCCTCTGTTCTTCCTTCTGCATGCATTTCCTCCTGGTTCTCCGCTTTCCTCCCACAGCTGCAAAGAGAAATCACCCCACATGGTATTGGTCAAACGTCCCGCTGCTGGCAAATTACCTTCAAATTACTCAGTTGAGATCCAATTCCAAAACCCCGCCACTCGCCACTCAGCGACGGTGACCTCACCACGCCGTCTGTGCCAGGCTAGGTGCACTTTGAGGCTGCCACGTGAAGTGTCGAAGGCTCGCTGCTGGCGGCAGGAGGCGACGGGACAGAGCCTGCAGGTGCCGTGGGTTGACTGAGTGAGATGACTGGCAGATTCACCAGCTGTGCCCCCATACTGTGCCAACTCGCTGCGTTTTATCCGTTGTTGTGAGCGTCGCTCCTCTGCCCTCCGTTGTTGCTGCTGGAGGGCGACTGCCCCCAACTGCCCAGTAGCAGCAGCAGCAGCGTCCTTCACGAGCCTCCTCCACAGAGGCCGAACTTGACACCGCTGGTACCAGCCATCAGCAAGTCCACTCAGCTCCACATCCTCCCGTGCCGCATCAGCTCCATCTCTTCTCTCAGCCCGCCACTGCGAATCCTTCAGGTCACAGGTGCACGGAGGCTTTTGCTGAATGATTCGTGAACGTCGTGGTGGGATGGGGAAGGTGCATCACGCCTCGTGGCTTCACAGGTGGCGAAGCTTTGCCCCCCAACTGACCAGTAGCGTCCTTCACGAGCCTCCTCGATTGAGATCAAGACAAAGACCCCCCCCCACCCCTCCCAGTATAACCTTGAACAGACTGTTGGGGCAAGTGCTGTTAGCGAGGAGCACCTATGAAGGCCGGCACGGCACACGAGGGGGTGGGTGGCCAGCACCACGCCCGGCCGCCTTTGTCTCCCCAGTGGGGAAGTTTTACTACACCGCAGAGATGATTAAGGCCATGCAGAGATGAGATGAGTCCATGCATGATAAATGTACACGCAACAGTTGTGTTTTTGTGTAAAGCAAAGATGTGCATATATATGGCACGATATTTCTGCTCTGCTTTATTAATATACAGGATTTTCCAAAAATCAACATATTCAATGCATTTACATAATATATCCGCAATTATCGACAAGATAATACGTAACCTTGATTATCGAAATTCACTCATTTTCAATAATTAAAATCATTGAGCAATCACATGTTTGATTGTCAACAATATACAATAATGTACCACTCTACGTTTGATAATTATCGAGGACGCGTGAAAACAACGCGTGTGTTTAACGTGTTCAATTGTCAAACACACGTTGCATTTTAATACGTTGTCGATTATCATGGAGACAGAAATAATGAAAAAAATAGCAACAAAAATAGCGCGCCCTGTTGACGAAACGGCCGAGTGGAAAGTTTTTAACCGGCGTGCATTCTATTTTCCTGGCAGAGAAGACGGGAAAAAACAGACTTCTCATGGCGGGGTGATGGGGGGGCAGCGGAATTCCAATATAAGTATGGAAAATGCAAGCGTGGAACGACTGCTTTGTTATTACTTGCATTGCCTTAAATCATCTCTGCATGCCCTTATATCATCTATGCATGGCCTTAAATCATATCGGCATGGCCTTACATCATCTCTGCATGGCCTTATATCATATATGCATGGCCTTACGCCGTACGTACGCTTAACAAAGCGAGCGTTGTGGCAGTGCTTCACTCTTGAGTATCGAGGCAAATCGTCTCCACCAGAGGCCGCTACCTCTCGATGCAGAGAGCGTCTAGGAATCCGGACCGCCGCGTAAAACACATTGCCCTGCGGAGGGAGCTGGTAGGAACGTTGGGTTGCTCGGTCAATGGCCAGGGTCAACGGCGGCGTGGTATATTCCGCAAATATGCCGACTGTGAGGGCGGGCATAAGCCGGCGTGAGTAGGTTAAACGTTGAGTTTTATAAGGGCACCACGGGGTGACCAGCCCCTCCCCACCCAGCCCCTCCCTCCCCCCCCACCCAGCCCCTATTTTTGGAGTTTGCGTCTCTCTCTCTCCCTGTGGTCGCGTGGATTTTTCTCCAGGTCCTCCAGTTTTTCCCCTCCACAGTTAGAATCAACATCACGCGTTTAGAGTATTTGGCTGCTATACATTTCCACATGATAAGCCACACTTCGCTGAGCTGTCATTTGTGATGGCCAGGTCGCTTCTGAAAAAGCCATGTCGCTCAGTAGGCCTTGCCTGGTGACAAATGTTTTGTTGAGTTTAGTACGTTGAACTTATTCGCACCGTACATAGTCAAGTAATTATCCATGGATTTTG